GCGACCCGCCCGGGCGGCGTACGCGCGGTACTCGATCCTCGATCCGCGGTCTCGGGAAAAATCCCCGCCGGACGGTCGAAGAGTTAAGTGCCGGTGGTATTGGTATAAATGCGCCTACCGGACTTTGGCTATCTAGCTAGGTTTGCGATTTATGTATTGGAATTGTACTGGTCGCTCGAGGCGGTACTCTTTAGATGGAGATAATTGGAGAGATTGTAAAGGAAATATTATTTTTTATTGGTAGCATTATAATGATGCTCGCAGTTTGGTGTTTGTTGTATAAATAGGTGCTTAATCTTTCATGTAGTAGGTAGTACTCGTGGTACTTCAGAGGTTATTGAGATGTGTAGGATGTCTCGTGGATGGTGTAGTTTTTGATGTATAATTTTTGAGAAAATGATTATAAAGGATTGTTTTTGTTAGTAATTATTTCATTAGGTAGTACTTCAGTTGTACTATGTGGAATTTCAAAAGTTATTGTACATTTTGGATGGAGCGCTTTTGATGTAACATTTTTGAGAAAATGATTATAAAAGGAAATGAGGTAGACTGGGGCAAATCGGTTGTAAAATTTGTAATAGTTCAAATTAAATCCTAAAATCTGGCTTTATTTTTTCTTTTATTAGAAATGATGATACCACATTAAATTCACAACTTTCTAAACTAAAAAAATCGAGGTATTAAAAAGTTTTTCTGATAAAGAAAGAAAACGATTTTACATATTTTTTAAAATGTTGACAATATGTTACATTAACACCATGGTATGGGGTAAATGTAACAAACGTTCTAAAAGGACAATACAATTATATAGAAAAACATATGGGGCAATTATAAATACTTATTTGGTTCCTCCAAAATTTGATATGCTGTTTATTTATTTATTTAAAAAAATAACAGAGCTACAAAATAATAAAGAAAAAATAAGAAACAAACCCTGTCTAATGCACAAAAGAACTATAAAAATAGTAAAAAACATCAACGTAATAGGTAAAAATATTACATTTACCCCATTTTTACATTTGCCCCAGTCTATATACCTTACTGTTTTTTACTTGGTATTTTTGCAATGATAGTTTGGTATTTGTTGTATCATTCTAAGTATTAGAAATTAATTATTTCATCAATTAGTACATTAGTGGTACTCTATGGTACTTCAAAAGTTATTAGGATATACAGGATGTCTCAGAATTCTTCGAGCTACCAAGTATACACTTTATGAACATCTTTACATTGCTGCAATAATGAGTACTAAAATGTAGCGTAGTGTTTTTATTAAAGCTATTAAATGCCCCGGGGGTATTATTTAAAACTCGACATTTACTCGTTTTCCTCTTTGAGCCGTTCCTGTTTCGAGGGCATTTAACTCCAATCTCGAGTTTTACACCTGCCCGATTTTCCCACGACCGATCGCTCAGTCGGCGGCGCCTCGCGCAAATCGGTCGCATATTAACGAGTACAACGATTAAATGCCCGATAATTTTTTCCCATTAATTAATTCGCGATTTCCCGCTGTCGATCTTCACCCTACACCGAGACTCGGTTTCTCTACGGGACTTTCCCGATAACTTTTCCAACGCATTTCGCGGTCCTTTTTCTCTTTGTTCGGGCAAAAGTTAGGCGATATCTTTACCGTTTATTCGGGCCGCGTTCGGTCCACGTGCAAGCCATGAGGACGGGGCGCGCCTTCGATACGCCGTACGTACGCCAGGTGCGTGCGATGTGTGGGAACTCCGCCGAAACTCAGTTTCCCAGGCCCCGGGATCGGCCCAGGAGAAACCGAACCACCTGCGTGCGGGGATTTCGACGAGCGCAAGGCGCGAACCAACGTCGCCCTCGTTATTATTTATTCCTTCTTTTTTCATCTTCTTCTTCTCCCTACATTTAACCTAGCGTTATTACATACAAGTATCGCGTTTCTTATGTAGAAGTATGTGTGTTTAGTATGCACGAATAGTTTTTTTCTCCCTACTTTTATCGTATGTATTAATGTATGCACACTATGCACTATAAATGAGCACTTTTTTTCCCTTCTTTTGCCACATAACATACACATTTCGTATGTATGAATAATGTATAACGTGCATGTAATTACGGTAAATGAGGACTTGTTTTTCTCCCTACTTCTGCCACATACACATTACATATTTAATAAAGTATTTAGGTACTACAAGTTAATACTTTTTCCACATAATACACATTTCGTATGTATTAATAATTTATATCGTACTAAAAATGAGTACTTTTTTTCTCTCCACTTTTGTCACATATGTAATAATGCACTATAAACGAGTGTATTTTTCTCCCTACTTTTACTAGATTTATACTAAGATATTATAGACTGGGGTAAATGTAAAAATGGGGTAAATGTAAGATTTTTACCTGTTATGTTAATGTTTTTTATTATTTTATAGGTCTTTTGTGCATTAGAGAGGGTTTGTTTCTTATTTTTTCATTATTATTTTGTAGCACGGTTATTTTTTGAAATAAATAAATAAACAGCATATCAAATTTTAGAGGAACCAAATATTTTTTTACAATTGCCCCATATGTTTTTCTATATAATTGTATTGCACTTTAGAACCGTTTGTTACATTTACCCCGTACCATGGGGTAAATGTAACATATTGTCAACATTTAAAAAAATATGTAAAATCGTTTTCCTCCTTTTTCAAAAAAACTTTTTAATACCTCGATTGTGTAGTTTAGGAAGTTGTGAATTTAATGTGGTATCAGCATTTCTAATAAGAGAAAAAATAAAGCCACACTTTAGGATTTAATTTGAACTATTCAAATTTTACAACCGATTTGTCCCAGTCTACCTTACTACAAATTACTAAATTTTTTTCTCCCTATAATACTTTTTCCACATAACACACATTTCGTATGTATTAATAATGTACATCGTACTAAAAATGAGTACTTTTTTCTCTCCACTTTTGCCACATATGTAATAATGCACTATAAACGAGTGTATTTTTCTCCCTACTTTTACTAGATAAGTGTTTACTAGATAAAAATAAGTAGGTACTATTTTTTCTCGCTTCTTTTAATATCGTTTGTGAAGATAAATGTAGGAAATGCCTAATAGAATGATGAGTGAATTACATCTGAATACACCTCGATTGACACTCGCCCGCCGGGCCAATTAGCTACCTAATTAAATTCGCCGGGTGATTAATTCGGATTTAACGACGAATATCCCGATACTGGTAGAGATAAAACGTGGAAACGGACCTGAGCGAGCGTACCCGTAATTCGGTAGCTTAATTGCGGGGCCCTAAAATGTATAAATGATCGCCTTCGAAAAACACCTGTCTCGCGTTCTCACGGTGCGTAGATGTGCGAGAGGAGCGGCGGAGCGAAGAGAAGGAAGAATCTCGAATAATCTCGGGCTCCCCCTCGACTTGAATTTCGAATCGACGATAAAAAGATGCGGGGCAAGGAACGCGTCACGCTCGATCGCGCGCGTTTCGAATCTTCGATTTTTCTTAAGGAGAACTAACAGTTTTTGGCTACCTACCCTCGCCCTTCTAACGTACATTCGATGTTCGAGTAGTTTCCGATGTGAAACGAAGAAAAAAAGGTGTCTCGGCTTACCTACCTAATAACTTTAAAAGAAATCTTTCTTATTGATAACGCCTCAGAAATCCCCGGGCACAGGTGTCACGGTTTACGTAACGTATCTTCGGTATTGTGGAAATATATTATACAATAGGGAATCTACGACAGGTTAATTTCTTTTGTGATTATGTGGGAAGCGACGGGCATCGTTGGTTCGCATCCAAATTGATTTTTCGACCTTTTAAAAATCCAAAAAAATAAATAAAACTTCACCACTTATTAGCACTTATCACTTATCACCGGGATTCTATATACGCCGATCTGTTCGGAACTGATGCGCGCCGGGAACTGAAAACTGCTTTTCCACGAGGGGAATTTATATACAAATTAACCCCTCGCATTTTCCATTATCTCTCGTCGACCAATGAAACACCGGAACAAGGAAGTGCACGCGGCACGTGCCCCGTATGGCAGATGTTCGATGAGCATTAGGGAAACAATCCCGATTGCGCATTGTAATTCCAAGCGAGGGAATTCCCTGCGAGGTGAAAGAACACCGTGGGAACTAAACGGGGATCGTCACTAAACGCTTTAAATTCATATTCTCCCCGTACATTTAATGTTAAAGTTATATGATGTATTTAAAGGCATGGAATAGCCATCTAGATAACTCGAGAAGAGAATTATAAAAGCACAATTATTAACAGAAGTATGATTTTTTCAAAAATGACGGAGTTTGGGTATAGGGATTATCCATATGGATCAAAAGGGTGTATATTTTAGCACTTAACTTTATGATTTTGGTATATTTCCTAAGTACTTTTCAGTATGTTCTTGGAAATTCTCTTTTATTTTACATTGACACTTCTTTCATTATGACAATGTGTCATAATTTGACGTTTCAATTCAATCATATTTAGGATGACATTTGACATGCTAATCGAATCCTAACAGCAAATAGAGAAATAAAAACATAGACCAGACCAGACCAGGATATAAAAAATGTTATATTAATACCACTTGCATATTGCACTATACATACACCTTGTTCCATTTCATGCGATTGCAACATGGTCATTTCTATGAGTGGAACAAAGAAAGATTATTAAAATGACAGTTGTCAGAGTGAAAAGTTGCAATGACATAAATGTCACTATTTCCTTTTCCTTAATAAGTGTCTAATGGAAGTTGTCTTTATCGCACCCATGGCCTATATAACCTATGTTGCAATCAAATATGGAGCAACCTGTATATTATAGCCATGATACAAATGGGTAAGTTCAAATTTGTTTGCAATATGGTCAAGCTTATGAATTAAAGAATGATTATCAAAATTGCTGTTAGAGTGAGAAAGTGAGAAACCCTCCCACAATATCTTTTTCTTTTTCCTTCATATGAGACTAATGAGAATTAAAAAAAATACATTTCTTTTTTAGACTTATATTTAACAAGTACTATTACAAAATGTAAGACAACAAAGAATGATCGCAGCATTTTCTCAATTTTCTGTTCTTCCCTCGATTTAATTCCGGCAACAGTAGAGTGGTTTTGCCGATTATTACGTTTTGCGTTCCGCTTATTTTCCTCCTCGTTTTTATCAACTTCGATTTCATCACCGCGAAGTTCGGATTCAATTTTTCAACGTCTGAAAATAAATTACTCCGTAATCGCATTTAATTCGCTTTCCGTACAAAACTACCTGTAATTTCACAACACGACGGGGGCCAGTAAATGACCAGCTCGTTTTCTATTAGCACATCGAACCAGTTGTGCACGTAAGTACTCAGAATCTCAGCTTTGCATATAACGTTGTAAATAGCCTAAAACAATAAAAATTGAAACCTATTTTAGATAAACTGAGGTACAAACTCACTAATACTGTGTGTATAACGTTAGGCTGATCGGGCGATAACGGAATTTTATCGAAAAAAAACGTAACGTGCGGCAGAAAAATCTCCTTAATCGCATCAACGCCTAAATAATAAATTATAGACAGCAGAGACAGTATCTGATCGCTCGGAATGGTTTCCAATTTCTGCTTAACCTTCGCTAATGTCATCTCTTTAAGGGAACATCGAAGGCACAAAATCGACAATGTGAAGCACATTTTCCTCAACACATCAGGAGCATTATAACTCAACAGCAACCTACAAATAAATCACCTCAAAAACCGATCGAATAATTTAAATCTAAGCACCTTTGCAATAATAATCTCACTAATAATCGCAGTTGCTTCGTAGAAACGCTGACGCTGTTCAACGGGCTGTTTTCGAGAGTCTCCACCAAATCTAAAGCGACCACGGTGAGGGAATCGAAGGTGATGTTGTTGATGAGCAAGAAGTAAGCGAAGTGGTAGAACCATTGGGCGATTTGCCCGACTTGGGGGTTCTCGCTGATGTCTTTCAACACCATATCCCTGAGCTCCTCGTCGCTGCCGGTCAGAGATTGACAGGCCGATACGAAGTAATTTTTTAGAGCCGGGCTGGTCGGGTTCGGTTCCGGGTACCAGTTGCTGACGATTTCGAAGTCCCCATATTGGACGTAAGTGTTGTTTTCTTCTTCCGTTATTTGTACGAGATCCACTATGCTATCCTAAAAAGGTTAAAAACCAATTGCAATTCATAGTGAGGACTACATGGAAACTTAATATTTACATCTAAATAGAGAAACGATTGGTTATTGTAGGTAAAGGGCATCCATATAGGAGAGTCCGATGCTCCATGTACTTTATCGATCGATAAACTGGTAAAGGTTTCTTCAATATCATTCGAAGATATCACATCTCTTCCACATAGTCGTGCTTTTAACAATGCCTCCTGAAATGTATAATGACAATAACATAACAACGAAATCTATTTAATGGAGCTTACATTAATTATATAACGAAGTTTGTAGTTAATATCTTCGCTTAAAACATTACAAACGTCTTCTGTTAAACGGGTTTCGATCATGGCTTGCTCTGCGTAGTGACTTATAATGTCAGGACTAATTCCTGCGTACTGTTTGAATTCCTGCAATGGATATGATTTATAAACGGGTCGACGAAAAACGTTATAATTTATTATTACCATATCTGCGCCTCTTTCTTTTTCTTTGGAATTGCTATCGTTCAAATTTGTACTACTTGAGCTGCTTGCATGAGCTTTCTTTTTATCATCTTTTGACGATTTTTTCACTCTTGTACTATTGCTAGAAGACATTGTTGTAGTGTGAAATTGTTTATAGCATATTATTTATAACAATTAGATGTATAAGTTTGCTTCGTCTAGTTAAAAATATTATTTTTGGGATGAAATTTAAAACATTGTTTATATTTTTTTTAGAAACTGACAGTATTGACATTGACAGTAGTATAGTGACAGAGACAAATTCTTCTTTTAATAAACAAAAATTAGTTTTAGTAATGTAAAGAAAAAGGCCAGTATTTCTTTTTGACGTACACGTTGATAGATGACATAATAAGGCAAGGTACTTGTCACTGTCAGTTCAGTTTGAATACTTTGAATTAAATAAAATATGCATTGGAGTTGAGTGTGTATTTTAAAGGAGATATTATAGCAAATTACCGTAAATGTTTAAAAAAGGAAACAACCAACCGACATGACTGCAGTCGAATGGAATTGGATTCCGTTTTGCGGCGAAGAATTCGTCATATGGTCGCCAAGTCAACATGACTTTGGAATTTGTTTTCAAAATACCTTCCTCCACATCCCGATTCTGGCGATATTTGGCATTTCCTCGGCGTATTATTTCGGATTGCAAACTGGAATTGTTTTGCGAACGAGACGGCAAACATTTGCTATAATTACAAGAAGTATTGTCTCCTTGATACTCGCCTTTTTTCCACTAGTTGAATTTTGCAATGTTTATTTCTACGGGGACGCGTTAGATAAGGCCTCGTTGATGTTAGTGGCCGTACAAGGTAAATTTTACACGATTTAACCATCGACGAATTAATTACATCTTGTTGTCTTGCAGGCGTATGTTGGTTTTCGCATTTCTTTTACACATTAAGACTGAAAAGGGGCCTTACGAAAAACCCGCGAGGCCCAATGTTAATGACAATTATTTGGCTAATTATATTTTCACTGAGCGTTCTGACTGCTAGAAGTTACTACTTAATCTACAAACATAATAGCAGCGAAAGAAAATTCAGGAACGAATCGTTTCTCTACAGTTGCGTTAACCTAGGATTGCTACTCGTATACGGAATGTCTCTAATACCAAGCGAAAGTAGCGAAGTTAACGCTCGTTCGATCAGCTCCGAAAATGATCCTTTACTTGGTAGCAATTCGCACACCTACGTGCGATTTAGCGGCGTTGAAGATTCGCAATACATCGGAGTGGCAATGGAAAACGCCAGTTTAACATCGAGGTTGTTTTTCTCCTGGGTAAACGCTTTAATAAAGAAAGGAGCAAACGACGGTCTAGTGTCTTCCGATGACTTGTACGATCTTCCACCGTCACTAAGCACCTCGTACAACGGCAACAAATTAGAACATCAGCTAAACGAGACTCCCTCGTCGAAGTACCTCTTCCTGAAGGCCCTCTACAAATGCTACGCTTGGGAATTCTTCAGCGTGGGCATATTGAAGCTGATAGCGGATTGTTCGGGCTTCGCCGGCCCCATTTTGCTCAACAGATTAGTCAGTTTCATAGAGAACAAGTCCGAAGCCACCGAATGGGGCTACGTTTACGCTCTCGCGCTCATCGGAAGCACCACTTTAGCGGCCCTCTGCGATACCCACTTTAATTTCCTAATGACCATCGTGGGGTTGAAGATGCGAGGCGCCCTCATAACCACCATCTACAGGAAGATTCTATCGGTGAATTCGATGGTGTTGAATTCCAATTTATCAGTAGGGGAGATATTGAATTTCATGTCGACCGATACCGATCGTATAGTGAACTCCTGTCCGAGCTTCCACTCGTTATGGAGCATCCCGTTTCAGATAGCCGTTACTTTGTATCTGCTCTACCAGCAAGTGGGACTCGCTTTCTTGGCCGGGCTGGCCTTCAGCGTGATATTAATCCCCATAAACAAGCTGATTGCTAATAAAATCGGCGAGTTGAGCGCGAAAATGATGGAACAAAAGGACGCTCGAGTGAAATTAACGTCCGAAGTACTGAGCGGCTACAAACCGATCAAATTGTACGTGTGGGAACGCCATTTCATATCGCTGATAACGAGGAAGCGGGACGTCGAGCTGAAGTATTTGAAGAGCAGGAAATATTTGGACGCTTTGTGCGTTTATTTTTGGGCTACTACTCCCGTCATTATATCCATTTTGACTATAGGAAGTTATGTGTTGCTGGGGAATGAATTGAACGCCGCCATCGTATTCACTACTATAGCCTTGTTGAATATGCTTGTACGAATTTTGCATTATTTGATCCCATTAAATATTTAATCGCTTATTTTTCTAGGTGAGTCCATTGAACGCGTTTCCATGGGTCCTAAACGGCCTGACTGAAGCCTGGGTGTCTGTGAAGAGGATACAAAAACTACTGGACCTACCGAACATCGATTACAGCGAGATTTACGATGAAATTAAAGAAGATAACGTCGAAATATCCATTTCGAACGGAACCTTCCAATGGGACTTCGGAAAGGGCAAAGAGTTTAAATTAACCGACATCAACGCGACTGTTAACAAAGGCGAATTCATCGGCGTTATCGGACCAGTAGGTAGCGGTAAATCGTCCTTACTAGCCGCCATTTTGGGCGAATTGTCCCGGGAATCCGGCAGCATTTCCATCAAACACATCGATACCGGTAAACTAATATTTCCACACCAAAATTTACTTATAAAATAAAACACACTCTTGCAGGTTTCGCGTTTGCATCGCAACAAACGTGGCTCCGACGGGGCACCATCAGAGACAACATACTCTTCGGGCAGCCCTTCGAAGAAACCAAATACAAATCGATCATAGCCGCTTGCGGTCTCGAAGAGGACCTGCTGGAGCTCGGCGACGGCGACATGACTAAAGTCGGAGACGGCGCCGGTACTTTATCCGGCGGCCAAAAGGCCAGGATAGCCCTGGCTCGCGCCGTCTACCAAGACAAATCCGTGTACCTGCTCGACGACGTGTTCTCGGCGGTGGACGTTAAAGTGGGCAAGCTGATATTCAACCGGTGCGTGATGGGATTGTTGAAGGAGAAAACGAGAGTGCTGTGCACGCACAACTTACAGTATTTATCCAAAGCCGATAGGATCGTGGTGATGGAGAGCGGGAGGATCAAGGAGATCGAAACGACCGGTAATGTATCGGGAATCCGGGATTCGGTCGCGTTCGATTCGGAACTGGAAGTACCGGTTGTTAACGAATCATCGGTGGCGAGGAGCGGAGAGGAGGGCGAGGATTTGTACAAAGAAGTGAGCAAAAAGGGCAGCGTGGAATTGAAGGTGTGCGTGTCGTATTGGAAGAGCATGGGGCACTTCGTAAGCGTTTCAATTCTCGTCGCTATGGCTTTAATGCAGAGCACCAGAAATATAACGGATTGGTGGTTAGCCAACGAAGTAACAATACAAGATAACGCCACGAACAATTCGCTCGAAGATTTCGACGCTTATTTATTCACGCACAAGGACGACACGAAGAAATTCCTGCTGGTCTATCTCGGCTTCGCTGTAGCCAACACTTTATTCACGCTGATCAGAGCGTTCGTATTCGCCTACGGTGGCATCGTCGCCGCCAAAGCCATCCACAAGAAACTCCTCAAAACCGTACTAAAAAGCAAATGCGCCTTCTTCGATGTCACGCCGCTCGGCCGGATCATCAACCGATTCTCCAGCGACACCTACACGATCGACGACTCCCTACCGTTCACGCTAAACATCCTCCTCGCTCAACTATTCGGATTACTCGGCTCGCTCACCATCACCGTCTACGGCCTGCCGTGGATCTGCGTGATCCTCGTACCTTTGATACCGATTTACACGTGGCTGTTGAACCAGTACCGCGTCACCTCCAGGGAACTGAAGCGCATATCGAGCGTGACGCTGTCGCCGCTCTACAACCACTTCGACGAGACGCTGCGCGGCTCGACGACCGTCCGCGCCATGCGCAAATCGGGCCGCTTCCGCGCCGAGAACGACGAGCACGCCGAGAGCAACGTGAAGGCGCTGCTGGCCGGACAGGCGGCCGCCCGCTGGCTCGGCCTGCGCCTGCAATTCATCAGCGTGGCCATCGTGGCGGGCGTGAGCGTGGCGGCGGCCGTGCAGCACCAGTACGACGTGGCCGATCCCGGCTTCATCGGGCTGGCCGTGTCGTACGCGCTGTCCATCACCGGCAGCCTGGCGGGCGTCGTGAACGCCTTCACGGAGACCGAGCGCGAGATGATAGCCGTGGAGCGGGCGAACCAGTATTTCGACAACGTGACGCCGGAGAGGACGCTGTACGCGATGGAGCCGCCGTTCGCGTGGCCCGGCCAAGGGGTGGTGGCCTTCGTCGACGTGACTATGCGGTACCGGTCCGAGTTGCGGCCGTCGCTTAAAAACGTCACGTTCGAGACGCGCCCGTCGGAGAAGATCGGCGTGGTGGGTCGAACGGGAGCCGGTAAAAGCTCGCTGATAGCCGCTTTGTTCAGATTAGTCGAGCTGTCTGAAGGCAGCGTCTCGGTGGATTCCGTCGACGTGAAGCTTCTGTCGCTGGACGCGTTGCGATCGAGGATGTTTTGCATACCGCAGGAGCCGTTCCTCTTCGGCGGTACGCTCAAGGAGAACTTGGATCCTCTCGGGGAGTTTACCGACAACGAAATTTGGTCGGCCGTGAGGAAGGCTAATCTGTACGATACGGTAGCGGCTTCCGGCGGATTGGACTGCGCCAGCGGCGGTCTCTCGTCCGGCGAGAGGCAGCTGGTGTGCCTGGCGCGGGCGGTGCTGCGCAATCCCAAAGTGGTGTGCATCGACGAGGCGACGGCCAACGTGGACGAGGAGACGGATAGGATCATACAGGGCGCTCTGAGGACGGCGTTCAGGAACAGTACGGTGCTGACGATAGCGCACAGGATTCGAACGGTGTTCGATTCGGATCGCGTCATCGTCATGGATCAGGGGGAGATCGTCGAATTCGACGAGCCCGGCGTGTTGATGGCGAATCCGGATTCGTATTTTTACAAATTAGTCAAAAATGTTTCGTAAATTTGAGATTTTTATATTTGTTAATTAATTAAACGAATTTTTTTTATACAAATATTCCGATGTTGCATTCTCCTCCGTTTGGCGCAAAATTATTCATTAGGTCCTAATATCAATCTAAACATAATATTTTATTAGAACGTCGAATTTTAACGAAAAAATAAAATATAAACCACTTTTCCTCGAAATACAAGAATTGTAATAAAAAAAATCATGCGCTTATGTATATATACAGAGAATGAACTATTTTACTTCTTATTACTTAGTAAGTAAACATAAATCGGTTATACAAAAAAAACAGAAAAAGAAACCACGAAAAATAAAAAAAAATTAATTAATCTTCGACCTTTTCTTAGCGATAGCGTCTTCGACGGCCTTCAATTGCTTCAGCAACTCCTCGCGTCTCGAGGTCGCCTTCTTCGACTTAGGATCCCCAGCCGGCGGCGAATTCGCCGGCCTCTTCTTCGCCTGCGCCGAATCCACCTTCCTGTATTCGCCGGCGTCCGCCTTCTTCGCACCCACCGGATTCTTCAGGTTCAATTTAATCTGCTTCTTCTCCGCCGAGTTGCCTTTCAGCGCGTCCATGGCTTTCACCAAATCCACAGCTGGAATCACAATTCATCGATTACTTATGAAATTCGAGCAATCGATTAAGTCAGTACATACCAGGACTTCGAACGAGCGGACTGTTATCCCTGCTGCTGGAGCTACTGGAGTCCGATGAATCCGATTCGCTGGAACTCGAACCCGAGCTACCCGACGACGATTTGGACGATTTGCGTCGATTAATTCGAGACAGAGCCGCCGCCACGGCCAGTTTACCTCTGTTCCTACCGAAGTGATCTTCGCGAGAAGGAGCGGGCGGGTTGGCGGCGGCGCTAACCCTCATCATACCTGCATTCAACTCGCCATTAGTAATCGTTAATTTTAAGAAATCGCGTCAAGATTACTCACCGGGAGACGGCGCTCTTCTTTTCGGCGCCGGCGGATTCATCAAAGCCGCCCGTTCGTTGGCGGCTTTCCTCTCCGATACGATAACCGAAGGCGATACGGGCTTTCCTTTGTGCGATCTCGATCTCTGCCGACGCACCGATCTCGACCTCGATCTGTACGAACTTTTGCTCGAGTCCGACGAGCTCCGCGACGAACTGAAATATATACAAGCGAATGTTTACTTAAACTTCCAGTTAAATAGATAGTTTAGGTACCTGCTCGATGAATAGGACGAACCCGAACTGTACGAACGCCTCCTGCCGCTGGTGCTGTCTTTCCTTCTGCCGGTTTCCTTCGAACGCATCCAAGGATCCGACCATTCGTCACCTCTACCCGCCTGCCGTTCGCTTTCTACGCGTTGCACGATAACCTAATTCAAACGAATACTTATTAGTAAAATCCATTGACCATAATACTAATATCTTACCTCTCGTTTAGGTTTAGGTCCGCGCGGTTTGCCGGCGCTGGTATGTTGCTGGGGCGGCTCCTCTTCGTATTTGCTGTTGTAATAATCGGGCATTCGGTGCGACGGCAGCTCCCTGTAGCTGCGCACGCGCTCCCTCGGCGGCGGCGGCGGCGCGTACTCGGGCTCGTACATCACCTGCCGGCGATTGTAATATTCCTCGGGCGGTCTCGATACGGGATACTCGACGTGCCTGACGTAGCGCGGCTCCGGCGACGCCACCCTACCGTAGTAGCCGTTCTCCTTGTCGAATTCCTCCTGAGCCAAGCTCAAGTTCATTTTCTTCTCTTCGAAATCGATGTCCTGCTCCTTTCGCTTGATCGATTTCCTGAGCATCTCTTTGGCCGTGCGCAGGCCCCGCTCCCAGGCGGATTCCACCATCGGCGCGTCGACTTTGGCGTAGCTCCGTTCGTCGCGGAATTCGCCGGGTACCACCGGTCGGATCATCTCGAACATCGTATAATTACCTAAAGTAGGACATTTTTTTTTATACAAACTTCGAATTGTGTCGTATTGTACGAACCTTTGTCTGTAACGCCCGGATGGAGGAACCTACAGCTGGCTCCCCAAGTGCATTGTCCTCTGGAGAAGAACCGGCAGACCGGTCGCGGTTCCGTTTCCTCCGGTCTGGCGTCGTCCTCGTCCGTTACTTCGCCTTCCTCCAATTCCTCCTTTTCTTTCTTGCTATTGTCGTCAGTCTTTTCGTTGTCGTCCAATTTGGACGAATCGTCGAGTTCTTCTTTGTCTTTGACGTTCATTTCGACGTCGCATTCGCCGTCTTCCGCTTCGAAATCCAACTGTTCTTCGCCTTCTTCCGGCCGCGTTTGTTTCTCCATACTCTACATAACAGATAAATAAATTTAGAATGGAGAGGGTGGATTGAATTCGTTACACAAACCTTCTTTTGATCGGGCGAGGAAGGTCGGTCGTTTTTGAACGGCGAATTTTCCACATCCGTACGCTTCGGGCTCGAATCCGAATTACCTCCCATGGAATCCTCCAAATCGGACACGTCCGATAGATCTTCGTGGGATATGTTTATGTCGCGTCTCACCGCAGCCGGTTCGACTTTGGTAGAAGCTTCTTCTTTTTCGTGATCGGATTCTATATCTCCTACAAAGTTATATTAAACACCAACATTTCCCATTACAAACACCGTCGTTTTTACCATCGGATATCTCCTCCGGTTGGGTATCCACAGCCTTGTTTCTCCTACTCGACGAATCCACGCTACTGTAGCTGGTATCCGAATCGGCGCTGCCCTTTCTCGCCTTCCTCCTGGCCCCTCTGGATCCCTTCGAAGTCCTCGAAAAGGCCGATCGCCTCGACTCCCTGCTGGCGCTGCTGTCGCTTTTGTCCTCTCTCTTCTGATTCGAGTTCCTCGATGGCGATCCCAACGAGCTGCTCGATGAGGAGCTCTGGGGCGATGGGGATCTCGGTTGGTCCATTTGCTTCACAGGACTCGGGGAGCTCGGTCTGTTGGCCGGCGATTTCTGTCTTTCCTCGTCCGAGGATGAACCATTCGAACTGGATGATCTGCCTCTTACTAATAAGGAATCGGTTAACCACTTCTTTTTTTTAAATAGTTTTTAACTTATTACCTCTAGTTTGTCCGGAATCGACTCCCGGTGATCTAGCCGAGGTGGGAATCTTGCTTTTCAATTCCGGAGATCTACTTTTGCTGGATGCGGAATCCGGCGAGGGACTTCTGCTGTGGACAGGCGCGTCCTGGGGCTTGGTTTCCTGCGCTGGAGACGGAGGCCTGCTGTCGTTGGAGCTTCTCGAAGACGGCGAACGGGGCCTGCTGGCGGGCGAAGAGGATCTCGAAGATGATCGAGATCTGTGAGAAACTCCGGCGGGCTCGTTGTTCGGCTTGTAATCTCCGCATTCGCTTCCCGAGGAAGCCTCGTGGGAATCTTCGGAGTCCATCGAAGCTGAGAACACAGTAATGGTGTTTAAGCATAACGGACGGTACTTTTGGGGAGGTTATCTCACACTGGGAACGATCGAAACCCTTTGGGTAATTTTTTTTGACACCGTTGTTACTTCGGTCTTACCTTCGGGACGCCGTCAAATCCTTCGTTACCATAAAGGCACTGGGATAAAACAATTCGCTTCTTCGATATATACATTACTTATTTGACTTACACCCGGACTTTTACTTCGATTACTCACAACACAAACTACTAGAAGTCTTTCGCGATAATAGACTCGGTACGAACTATTAATATATCATAACTTTTTAACCATTTTGTATACTGATTGACATCAACTTAACTGTAATATTATTATACATACAACACAATCTTGGGTAAAAAGATTAATTAACACTTTTTTACTTCTCGGACTTGATTCTTACCTTATTAAACTTGCAATACTCCTGTCGAATGTGCTTAATTTCTTTGATGTTTAGTATTATTTAATAAAGAAATTTCTATCTCAATTCGGGTATGCACTAAACATTACAGAAAGAGACATGGCGTTGTTGGCTTTGTTGCCGTTTTCGGGCATTTGATTTTTGACAATCTCAAAATTTATATTCACATCCATAAAAATAATTCATATGCCGAAAAAAACTGTTTGCAATTTAATTCAACGTAATTATATTTTTAAAATGAGCAATACTTATTGTTAGGTTTATATAATTAAATTTGAGTTGTAAATAAATAGTTCAAATGAACTGTAGATGACGTGGCGACGTCGCACTTTGCATCCATTTGTCAAATTGTGGTGGACTCCGATAGTATGTAACGTTCAGCCCAATATTAGGTCGCTGGTATTTTAGATGAACAAGGCCAGTCGGTGTTATTCTGTCAAATGTCAACAGGCGACAAAATTTGAATTTTGTAAACAATAGCAAAGTGCAACAATTTTCATTAGTTCAAATACGTATTATTGGCGTTGAATTTCTAAACACTCCGAATATACAAGCAGTAGTATGTCAATAGCTATTTACGCATTACCACCAGCCGAAATTACCCTATGAAACATGCTGCAACGTTTGACAAATTTCATGTTGCCGTCACGTATTTTCCTAACATATCCAAAGTACACAACTTATATATCGAGCGCCCCAATTACATGAACGCCGTACAAAATGTGCTTCCTATTAACCGTGACCCTGATGACCTACTGCCTGAAGAAAGCGTCGACCGGCAGCTGCGTAATGGAAATAAGCATTCTAACATTCTTAGTAACACTGCCCCTGATCGTCATGACGTTCGCCATGTACCTGATAACGCCCTATTTCATCGATGAAATCGAAGATAGACAGTTCGGCCTGATCAGAGACTGCGACAAAACGCGCGTCATCGGTCTCATAGAGCGCGTCTACCCCGACGCCCAGCAATTCAAATTAAAATGCAACGGCCTCAATTTCGGCGAAAACATGGGCGTACTACTTACCGGTAACCTTTTTTATCCACTAAGCAATAGTTCGATTGCTATTACGTTGATTGCAGATTGCTTCGACGCCTCCGAAGTGATACCGGAGAAATACTACATAGCCAGCAAATCGAACTACTGGTGCGAGAACAGCATAGTGCACAGCATAAAAGGCTTCAAAAAGATCACCGACACCACCGATAGCATAACCATTTTGGAGGCGGACCCGCCGCTGCCGGAGCCGTGCACGCCCGACGACGAGGCCAGTCTCTTACGAAAAGACAGCTACTTTTACGTGGAGGAGCGGTTCCAGTCGAACGCGGAGCACGTCCTGACCGGTTGGAAGGTACGCGACAGGAATTCGAGGATAGCATTGCAGGAGATACCGGTGCTGAGCTATTGCGTGCCCGGATTCCCTTCGGCTATAATATTCTCTCGGCCCGGGTACGATTCGTGCTTCTAATTTTACTGTGGGTGTTTTATTTCGTAGTGCCGTTTCAGCATGTATTTCAGCGGTTTCCAAAAGGAGTGCAGGCCGCACGAGCCCTTCGACAACGTCCTGGTCCCTTACAGCAAGTTTCTCTCGCAAATCCACGCAAACTTCCCGCACGTCGAGTACAGGAGCAACAAGGTTGATTTGAAAAAGGACGATCAAACTACTGCTGGAGTTGATACCAGCCGCACAGGTGGAGTGACCCTCTCCGAAGGTGCCACATCAGTTACGGTTGATGGTAGGACAAGTAATGAGGCGACTAAGTTAGATTCTAGTCGTTATTTAAGCACAAACGAGGCCAGTTCGAGTACGAGTGAGGTTCCCGATTTGACGAAACCGAAAGGTAGTCTTATAAAATTGGTGATTGAGGAATTCTGCTGGTAGGTAACAGGAAATACCATTGATGTTCGCATACAAGGCACCAGACTTTTTGTAAATTTAAGTAAAATATTTGAGCCTTGTATAAAGTGGATAATGGTTTTGTCACCTATCGGTAGGTAGTGAATTATTTTGTAATTCGTCACCTTTCGGTAGAAAACCATTTATTTTGTAATTTGTCACCAAACATTAGAATTATTGTTGGTATTAAATTGAGAGAATAGATGGGAATTATTCGCTTTGTTTTACAGTAACTAAAGTGAATTGCAGTTAGTGATGAATTGTAAAATATTTGGTACCTACCGAATATAAATTAAATATTGCTGAAATGTTTTTTTTTTCAGGAAAGATGAAATTGTGGGTGTTGGTCGTATAATCAATACGTCAGTTTTGTTTATTCGTTATCCTGTGATGTTAGTAGTATTATAAGTATTTTTCCTGTAATTTCTATGTAAATAATTGATATATTTCGAAAATTTTAAGATTTGTGTGAGCGCAAAATTACGTAGTACTTGAAGTAGCATTTTTACGATTCCTCCACCTGTAAAATAAAAAAAAACTAGCCCATATTCCGCCTGATATTCACCGAAAAATATCGCTCACCAGCAACTGATTGATGTAATATTCGTAAGGCACCGTCTGCGATAGCGGATCAACGGCAAGTTCCAGCATCTCGTCGATTTCCTCTTGAGAAAACGGCTCCCCGTCCTGCGTCATAAACATCACGGCATCCTCTTTAGTCAAATACCCTTTACCAAGCACATCCAAAGCCTTGAAGGCCTCCAGCAATTCCTCCGGCCCCGCCGGCTCGAACCTAATCAAACCGTCTTAACAACTTATTCTTCACACACTCACAAGAAGTCTACCTGTGTTCAGTGATGGCCTGCACGATAACGGGCAGGAAGTGCCTCAAGTGCACGCTGCCCGGTATCCGCGGGTGCTCCACCGCGACGATCACCTCCTGCACCCCGGCCTCGGTGGGGCACATCCCCAGGCCCCTCATTATGGTGGGGACGTCGCGCGCCTCGCACATCTTGTTGTTTCCCACGTCGAAGATGTCGAACGCCTCGGCTATTCTCCTCTCCAAATCGTTGTTTAGTATCACTGGAAACGCCGTAATAAAAAGCCATTATTATCGTGTATGCACCTCACCTTCTCGTTGGTCCTCTTCGTCGGGACCTGAAGATGCAGCAACACCTGGTGCTTCGGACATTTATTACGGTTTAATCTTCGTGTAAGACTGAATTAGGCGAGCTAATATCGATCAAACTTTTGTTGTCCTTAGTGCACTTAAAAACTTAGATGTTTTTGTCGAATCTGACATTTCTTAATCAGATAATAATGAGCCTAACGGCAAGCTCGGTGAAAATAGCGCTGGTGACGGGAGCAAATCGAGGACTGGGCTTCGAAGTGGCTCTGGGCCTGGCGAAGAAAAACTACAAAGTATTGATGGCGGATAAAGCGGATCAAATGGTGTCCAAAGAAGAGATAATCTGCCGGTCCGAGAACCCCGACGTGCGGGACTACACCGTGGATTTGGCCTCTTACAAATCAGTAAGAGGCTTCGTGGAGGAGCTATCGAAAGACGTGGATCGCATAGACGTGCTGGTGAACAACGCCGCCGTGTTTTGCATGAAACAGAGAACCACTGTGGATTATTTGGACGGGGTGATGCAAGTGAACCACCTAAGCCCGTTTCTCTTGACGAATTTGCTAGCTGAATTCCTGAAGAACTCCAGCCAGGGCAGGATAATTTTCGTCACATCCAGCGGTTCGTTCTTCCATCGCATGACCGTCGAGCGGCTGAGCCGGCCGGATTATTTCGTGCCGCATTTCATATCGGGCGCGATTCATTACTACAACACGAAGCTGTGCAACATGATTTCGACGCGGTATTTCGCCGAGAAATTGGGGAAGTACCGAGTGACGTGCAACAGCGTGCACCCCAGCATGATGAACACCGGGTTCTTGATATCGGACCGACCGGTGGGTTTGATAGCGAAGCTGGAAGCGAGCGTGTCGAAGCGGCTCATTCCGCGAGTTACTAGAGACCCGGGGCAGTGCGCGGACGGGGTGCTGTTTTTGGCCCATTCGAAGGATGTTCGGGACGTAACGGGGAAATATTTTTACAACTACCAAGTGCACAGGGAGCCGAAAATCGTTGAAGATCGGCGCTTCTGCGAATCGCTGTGTTCCGAAACTGAAAAATTGGTAGGGTTGAACTAACAAAACTCTGGGGTTTTGTTATGTGTTTGCTTTATTAAGTTCGTTAAACTTTTATATAATACTACAATTCGTTATAGAATATAAAATAGACATTTTAATAAAAATATACGAAGTGTCGATATTTTTAAAGTTACCGGTAAAAAAGTTGGTGTGACAATTGACGTTGTTAGAGTTGCCTCTTTCCGAAGAAATACTCGAAGAAGAACTCGAAGTATCGAAATACTCGACGCATAGAGAAAGAAAGATGAGAGAGTTCGATCCTTTACTAAAAATTGGCATAATGTTGATGGTGCTGCCTCTAACTCCGGTCGTCAATTTATCGCGAACTAATCAAGAATGACAGTGCAGATTTCTTCTATATTTAAAAACAAAAAATGGCGGTAAATTTAAATTTTATTTCTATAATTCTATTTTATTTTCTTACATTTGATAATTGTGTAGTCATTCAATAGCCGTTTCTCAAGCAAGAAAAACGACTATCAAATGCATACACAATTTACAAATTGGAACATTTAAAATAATACACAATACAATTATATTCAGGTAACTATAATAATTAAATAATGAAATAGAGTACTTCCATACAAAAACAAACATATAAACTATTAAAAATAAATTATATAAAATAGAAATTTCATTTATAAAATCACATTTATATCACAGAAGTTACGAAAGGATATTTACATACACTAAATTTAAATACAATTATTTTAGTAAAATTGGTTATTTCTAAAGCTATACAACGATAAAGTTGGTCTTATTCCTCAGCTCCCAGGGTCTACACCTTCCAGTTCTTACATCGTACGTTATCTAAAACAAAAAAATATCAGCAGCATCGAATTCGGGGAAAATAACGAATAGTGAAAAATAGTTGTTAGTTTTTACCATTTTTCCGATAATACTTTTTAATTATCATTGGTACAATGGCTCCAACAAGTTGACAAAAAACATCTGATTTATGATTTTTGCAAGAAAGTGTTCTTTTGTGATGACATTTTAAATGAGCAAACACAAGTAAAAATAAAAAAATATATAAAAACTCACCAATTTAGGTTATACACAAAAATGGCGCACACTACTCACGAAACTTACGTAAAAAGACCGGCATAAGTGCATAACACAACTCGACAAGAACGGCAAGGAAGACTACCGAACGAAACAAACCGAACATCGCTATCGTTTGCGTTCGAGCATTTATGTGAAATTGTCCAATCAAAAAAATTGAAATATATTTCATTTTTCGATAGCAGCGCCTCTCGCGGGGTCTTCAAAATGACTCGTGTAGTCCGATATGTCCTATGCTTTAAACAGTCTCTTATATTTTGTCTATGACTCGACGTATTTCGTCTCGCATCAACGTTACTATAAAAAAAGAAGAAACAGTTTGTCAGTGTCAGTACTGTCAGTGACTTCAGTGAGTTTAGCATGAAGTTGATAACACAACGCGAACGCAGAGCATCTGTACGAAATGCCAAATAATAAAAATAAATATACAGCATAAAAGAGTTAAATTGTACTACAATTGTTGCGTTATTTCATAATTATGACTCTAGGAAGCGAAACGAAAGCGTATTTCGGCAAAAAGCAAGTCCTTCTAACGAATAATCGTGTGCATAATTTAATTTCATCGCTTTATTTTAGGAAAGCTGTAACATACCCGCCACAAGGGGTACGTTGCCAAAAGTGCTTGGAATACGGACATTGGTCGTACGAATGTAAAGGTAAACGCAAATATCTCCACAGGACGTCCAGAACCAAGTTGTTAAAGAAGAGATTAAAGACCATCGATGGGGCTAAAGAGAACAAAAACGGTGAATCTCAGGCCGATGAGAAAAAAGCTGAAACGAGTAGTTCAGACAGCAGTTCTGATTCCGAGTCGAGCAGCGACGACAGCGATTCGAGCAGCAGCAGCAGCAGCTCGGTTTCGAGTACTTCCAGTTCAGAAAGCGGAAATGACTGATACGATTATCCTGACGACAGTACTTATCATGCCTAGTTTTTTTAATCATGTATAATTTTAATTATCTGCGTAATCATTAAGCAAAATAATAGGTTCTTCGCTAAATTAGTAAGAACAATTCTAGTATGATTTTTTAAGTCATTTGACAATTTCTTCTACTTGTAGGTTGTTAGTAATAGATTGTTTTAAAAATAAATATTTAATAATGTTAATTAGATTCTTTCATTGGACCTTATAAAAAATTAGCCACAAAGAAGTAATCAAGTACTTAACAAGTAGATGCCATACAGATACACGTTTTAGGTTAATTCTAGTATTTTAACTTAAAATACAAATTTCGATAAAGATTCTACTATTTTTTGTACCGATTAATAATTTAAAAATCAAAGCAGAGCATTGTAATGTTTATTAAAATATCAAAAAACATTTATTTACGTCACCGGTAAAACAAAAAACATAGTTGCCGGATTCACACGATACACTTATAGTACATTTTTGCGATCTATTTCATTTAATCACTTCCAGTATAAAAGATTGTTGCATCATGAGAAATTATGTTTATAATTTCACAGTATGAAAATAAATAAGTGTAATTACAGATTTTTGTATTCAAATTCAATAAGAATACAACTCTAGTACCTTTTTAAAATAAAATCTGGCAACGCCGCGGAAAAGTAAAACCGGAACCGGTAGTTGTCGCTGTTGTCTTGTCTTGTCAAATAATGCCAAAATGGCGTTCTGGTTGTAAATTTTGCTCCTATTTACGATTACTAATAACAATGATTATATTTTATGAAGAATCATTTTAATCTTAATCTTCCAGGTGAATAAACAGCATCAGAATGGACGCCGTAAAATCGTTCAATATGGAGGTACGTATTTAATAGCAGAACCATCGGTAAATAATTAATAAAAGACGCTTACTACTCGACCCGTAGATTCGTTAATTTCCTTTTATTCTTTTACCGCTTCTACATCACATAACGTTTTAATGGATTGTTATTTACTCGTTTCAGCTATCGTCTCTCTACGAGGTGAAACCTCCAATATCCAAAGCGAAGATGACCGCCCTAACTCGAGGCGCCATAAAGGCCATCAAATTCTACAAACACGTAGTGCAAAGTGTGGAAAAGTTCATATTGAAGTGCAAACCCGAATACAAAGTGCCTGGTTTATACGTGATAGATTCCATTGTGCGCCAATCCAGGCATCAGTTCGGCTCCGATAAGGACGTGTTTGCGCCCCGTTTCGCCAAGAACATGACCCAGACTTTCATCAACCTGTTTAAATGTCCCGCAGAAGATAAAGTGAGAATTGTTGTTGCTTTGTTATGTAACCCGGGCTCTTTCGTTTAGTTGTAAACTGTAATAGTTTCGAAATCAAAATCTTGATTTATTCTACTTAAACTAACGGAAATTGATACATTATGATCTTCTGTTGTTTATCGATGAAAAAACATTTCTAGCGAATACTAATTATCAGATTTACTGTAATCTAGTTGTGTAATACTATTTCAAATTAGCTGTAATTAACGCAAACTTCTTGATTTTATGTTACTATTCTTATAATTAATTTATGTTGTGTCTGAGGTATTTCTCATATCACATTTTTATTTCTTAATTTATCTTCTTTTTTCTGAATAGTTTGAAATTACGAATGATTTGTTTCATGGGGTTTCAATAGATTTTTTTATACTTAAACCTATTTTACAATCCTTGCGATTATTCGTATTGATACTCGATTAAGCATTTGATCAGTTTGAATAGTTTTCGATGGTTTTGACTAATTGTGCATTGTTTTTTCCAGAGTAAAATCATTAGGGTGTTGAACCTTTGGCAGAAGAACCACGTATTCCAGCCGGAGGTTATCCAGCCACTGTTCGATCTGGCCGATCCGAACAATCCCATTTACAAAGAATTGGAGATATCGATGCAGCAACAATCGGCGAACGGTCTAAACGCGAACTCGTCGTCGATCATCAAAGGTTGGTATATATAAGCATTTCCTTACGTTTAAATTGTGTTCAATGCAACTTGCCAATTGAAAAAAATATATATATACATAACGAAAACAGTCATAAGTATTTGTATGATTTGGCAAGATGCGAACGACTGGCACATGTCTAAATAAGTTGTTCATAATAGGTTCACCAGCCATGCAAAGGACTCCCACCAAAGGAAACCAACAAGGAAATGAGAGTCTACACGGAGCTGCGACTGCTTTGGTATCGATCGTTCCGACAAATAAATATCTACTTCTAGACGTCCGCTCGCGTTTATCGTTTCGTTATAGTTGCCTGTGAATAGAGTTTTTTTTTATTCAAATTGCCGATATTTGTACAATTTTTATTCGAATCAAATCTCGCTGTTAAATGTAAATGTAAAATTATAAGTGAGTCATTTTCGAATTCGTTAAATTTATTGTATTTTAAATTAATGATCAATTTGTTGTATATTTGTTACAATTGTCAAAACGAAAATCTTGCAAAGTAATATTGTTAATTAAAATAGATGATATAGTAGAATGCATACGCCGGTTCTTATGCAAAAAAAATTACTGTATGTTCAAATAAAAAAATGTATACGTTTACATTTATAAGATATACAAAGCTCTTTTAGCTTATTTTAATAATTCTACTCACAGGCAACCAAAAAATTTAAAAAGAAAACTTTTAATTGTGAATTGTAGGGAATCTCAAAGCGACTGTGTATTATAGAGATAGTGTATAGTTCCTCAGCTCAAAATGTGCATAACTTTCACTAGAAATAACACAAAATATATTTAGAGAAAACAAAAATGCAATATATTCGAAACTGTTAGATATAGCTTTGTTCAAAGAACACTAATGAAAAACATCATAATATTTGATTCCCAAGTGTTTGCTTGATTTAGTTTTTGTCAATTTTTCATTTTAATGTGAAAAAGGTTCAAAATATGTAGGAAAATTGTATTAAAAAATATTTTTTCTAAAAAAATAACATTGTGTTGTACGTTACAACATAAAATGTAATGTAATGTTTCTTTTAACATTCGTACATCAAGTATAGTTTTGAAAGTGACATGCACATTTACCAAACTTTATTTTTCAATAGTTTTATTCGGTTCATTCGTGGTTATAAGAATAATCCTTGCCGCATTTATAGAACAACTTATTTAGACATTTATTGATTTACTGTACATATTTAAACAAATCTGAAATTCATTACTAAGATATTTTTCCGTTCTGTTTCCAGAATTTAACCGATCCAAGTGTCATACAGCAATTGCAACAACTTCAACGGCTCATTTCGAAGAACGTAGAGAATTCCTCGCGTTCTGATCAAGTCCACTTCGACAAGAAGCTTTTAGATTTCGATTACGGCGATGAAGATGACGAAATTCACCCGTCCCCAAGACAACAAGCATCTTCGGATGCCATCCTGCCCGTTACAAAGTAATCACTAATTTCCACACGACTCTTCAATTCTCATTAAAACGATCTTTTAAACAGCCTCTTGACGAACCCCGAAGTGCTCAGACAACTCCAAACTCTACAACAAACCATGGCCAACGCCGTCCAACCCCAAAATCAGGAAATCGACTTGGACAAAATGAGAAAATTGCAAGAAATGAAACAGCAGGAAGATGAATTCGACAAACATCTCGCTCAAACAGTACCAGTAAGTTTACATTCCGATACGTTACTTTGGTCGAGTAGTCACCTCCAAATTTAAAACATACGTCATATTGGTTGAGTAGACACGTCCAAGTAGTGTCAAAACTGTCAATGTCAATTTCGAAAAGTATAGAGATGGGAACGCATTATCGAGTATAGAGATGGCACGTTACGATGTAACCGTTATATGTTTTTTTTTTGTGTAGAATTTACCGTTCGCCGCCGAATGCGATTTCCGCGGCACGACGAACCCGGTAATGGGCGGCAATTACTTCGCGGACGGCGCGATCCTGAACCCGCCGCCGCCGCTCTATCCGCCCGACTTCGACGCGTCGGGCGTCCCGTCGTCGGAGAAGGGTCGCGCGCAGGACGACGGCGCCGACGTCGAGGTGATAACGCTCGACCACGACGATTCGCGCACGCCGACGCCCGAGGAGCGGTACAAGAAGAGGCGGCGCAGCCGGTCGAGGTCGCGCGACCGCCGCGGCAGGGACAGGGACAGGCGGCGGTCGCGGTCTCGATCGGGTTCGAGGCGACGCAACCGGTCGAGGTCGAGGGATCGCAGCGACCGGTTCAAGAAGGACAAGGAAAAATCGAAGGAGGAGAAGGAGAAGGAGAGCGAACGGGAGAGGGAGCGGAAGAAACGGGGATTGCCGGTCATCAAAAAGGATTGTCTAAGCAGTAAGATTCGAATTGTTTAATCGTATTACGATGATGCTATTTCGATTTTTAGTTTGTAGTACAACTTTGTGGGTGGGTCACCTTTCGAAATTGGTGCACCAGGACGATTTGTCGAATACTTTCGGCGAGTTTGGTGACGTCGTGAGTATCGATTTGATACCGCCTAGAGGTTGCGCTTTTATCGTGATGTTGAGACGACAAGACGCCGCTCGGTGTTTGACCAAATTGAAAGGGCACAATCTACACGGAAAATCTATAACGGTAAAAAAAACGATAAAATTTTCCAGAGCTCCGTTTAATTTTAAATCGTCGTTTCAGCTGGCTTGGGCGCCCGGCAAAGGGGTGAAAGGCAAAGACTTGAAGGACTATTGGGAGGGCGATTTGGGCGTATCGTACATTCCCTACGCGAAACTGAAACCCGACATCGACATCGACATGCTCGAAGACGGCGGCATGATCGACGAGGAAACCATGCCGGCGTGGATGAAGGAGAAAGTGGAAAGGATGGGCAAGAAACCCAGCATGGAGGGATTGACCGGTTTCATGCCGTCGGTGAGCGGTACTACCATCGATACCAGCCAACCGCCTCCGATACCGGGAGCCGGTTTACTACAACCGCCACCTATGATGCCTCTCTTTCAATTCAATAATAGGTAAATATCTCAAATTTTTTTGGTTTCGATAGTAATTATAGCTAATTTTATTCGTAGATTATTGGGTATGAACGTCCCACCGGGAATGATGCCTAGTCTATCGAACATGCCTAACATCCCCATTGGGGTACCGCCGCCCAATATGGCAGGAGCTCAGATGATGAGCAATTCGTTATTAGGTTTAGGATCACCGTTTCAAGGTAAACTAATATACCCACAACTTACTTTATTTCTACAGTAATATTCCTAATATTATCGCAGGGCCCAAACACCATTTGCTCGGTCCGCCGAACATCATGCCGCCCCAATTGCCGTCGCTCGAGAAATCCGGCATCAACGCCGACGCGACGTTGCACAATTTGGGCAAGTCGCTGTTGAACATCACGCAGTCGTTCGGCGTCGTGCCGCACCCGCCGGCGCCGCACGACGATCCCATGGACGTCGAGATGGAGGACGCCGACAAGCCGGCCGACAAACCGGCGTCGTTCAACGATCAATTCGCCCGGGGCCGCGACGACCGGGACAGGCGGAACAGGAGCCGGGACAGGGACGTGTAAGTCGCCTCGATTCGCTCTAAATACTCCGGGCCTTGGTTACTCCATAACAACAATGTAAAACTGTCAATTTAAACTCGTGTTATTTTTTCGTTCAGTAGAGACAGGGAGAGGAGTCGAGATCGTCACGGGAGAGAGAAGGATCGCGACAGACGGTACAACAGAGATCCGCCGAGCCGTTCGAGGGACAGAGATAGAAGGGACGACAGACGCGATAACAGAGAGCAGCGCAACAACCGTTGGGGCGACAGAGATAGACGGGATAGATCGAGCGATCGAAGGGAAAGAGAGAAAACGCTGAACGATAGATTGCGAGAAATGGCCGGTATGGGCGGTTACGACGATTCCAGGGATAGAAATCGAGAGAGATTTAGAGATAGGTAAGGACGATCTATCGCTTATTTTGAGTTTTACGCCTTATTAATTTTTTTTGTTTATTATTTTCGTAGAGATAACAATTTGAAGTTCGTGCCGCCGGCGCGCAGCAACGGCAGACAAGATGAAGAATTCGACGCGTTCCGGCAACGGGACAGATTCGATAGACGCGGGAAAATCGACGACGGTCAATCCGACGTCGATAAATCCAACGAAAATCCGGACGCCGACGAGCAATCGAAGGCGGACGACGGCAACAGAAAAGACGGTAGCAACGCAGACGACGACAAGGACGACAACAAAGACGTGATGTCCGAGTGCGAATTGAATTCGGCGCAGGACGAGAGTTTGTTGGATCAAGAAAGCGGCGATGCGAAGATATCGGAAATCGTGCTGGACGGTAAGCGATACCGGAGGGATTCTAGCGGCCTCTACCGCAATGATTATTCGGTCAATTTAATTGTTGAGTCGTTTCGAAACAATTATCGCGCCTAATAATCTTCTTTTCTTCCCAGGTGACATACCACCGGGCGTAGACGAACCACTCGACAACGATCACAATTTCTCGCAAATACCATTCGAGACACCTTTGAACTTCGAAGCCCTATCTAGCATCATACAAGACGGACCTGCTCGAGGTACTAGCTTTATACTACGACGTAACCATCTAATTAACTCTTATTAAATATCTAACAGGCATGTTCAACGACGTGGACGGTCCGCCCAGAAGTATATTCGACGACTTGCGCGACGGGCCCCCGTTGATGTTCGACGACATGAGAGGCGGCATGCGAGGCAGGGGACGCGGCGGCGGCGGCGGCGGCGGTCGCAGGGGACGCTACCCGATGCGAATGGACGGCCCGCCGGATTTGTTGGACATGCTGGAGGGACCGCCGATGATGGACGGGCTGCCGCCCGACGTCGACGCTCCGCATTTGCTGTCGTTCAGAGACGAGCGGTTCTCGAGAGGCGGCAGGAGGCGGCCCGACGGCGAGTTCTTCCCGCCGAGGGAGGATTTCGGCCCGAGGGGCCCGCCTTTGATGCTCATGCGAGGCAGAGGTAGAGGCGGACGAGGGCAGTTCTTTCCCAGGACTAGAGGTAGTAGGGGTGAGTTTATTATTGACTTATTATTATTTGATACTAATATTGGTGTTTAGGTGGTTTTAATCCGCGTTTCGAAGGGCCACCGTTCGACGGTCCTCCATTCGATGGGCCGCTGTTTCCGGGTCCGCCTTTCGAAGAGCCGTTGTTTAGGGGTCCCAGGGGCGGCAGGGGATTCAGGCACGGTCGTTTCGAAGAGAGGAACTGGATGCGATCGGGCGAGTTCAAGCAGCCGGCGAGAGGCGGCAGGAGGAGCAGATGGGGCGGCGAGCAGGACGACGACGAATGCTTGGAGGATTCGAAGGATTTCAACGATCGGCCGCACGACGGTGAAGAAGGTGAAGGAGAAGGCGATGAAGAAGAGGTGACCGGGGAGTTGGAACTGATGGATAGGAGGGAGCCCGTCGAGGATGCGGGTGATAATAGTTTTGAGGCGAGTAACGATGGTAAAAGTACGCCCGTCGTGGACGAGAGGCCGTTGGTGCAAGAACGCGAAGACGAGGAAGATGTTGTTAAACCTCCGGGCACCGAAGATGTGGTGGAGTAGCACGAATTAAAAACCGCCGCCTTCGTTTTGTTTTAGGTATGAAGCATTACAATTTACGAATATGATTTGTGGAATTTTATGAATGCATAATTAAGCATCATTTTATATTTTTTTTTGTTTGAAATATCAAAAAATACTTTGTGCATATATATATTTAATGGTCGTATTGGATATTGCATTTTGTACACTGTACATAATTCCTTTGCAGAATGTAATGAATATATTTTGACCATTAATTGAATATTGTAATTTAAATTTGTACATACATTTTAAAAAAACAAATCGAAATTAATGTAATTTTTGTAACAAACTTTATCGAGAAAGGACGCTTTATAACTGTGATTTTTGGTGAGGTGAACACAGGTGAACACTCCGTTAAATTTTCCATCACTCGACATTGTACAGTTAAATAAATGTATTATTTATTATTCCGTTTTTTTAGCTTTAATACCAGCATTGTAGGATAAAATTAGGAGCCTATTTTTTTCGAAAATACATATCTTCTTTAACACATCTGTATTCGATATAAATTATTAAGGAGTGTTACAAAATAAACAGAAATTTATATGAAAAACAAAAATAATAAATATTTTTAAAGTCAATTGAATACGGTTCTAAATTGTACAATAAGAATGCTTTTAATAATAAAACAGACATTATTTATAGAATTAGTTTTTGATTTGTGCGCAATTGACTTTAGAAACACTATAGGAATTGGTGTAGGATTGGAAATTGTTGTAAATTATCACAGCGAGGAAACCTCTTTGTGACCTGGATGTTGGGATAGTAAAGGCCATCTGTGTTCACATTAGCTGATTGGAGGACTTCTCCGCAGCGCCAGCGCCGTCCTTCAAATGGAAGGGCCGGTGCAAGGTTGGTCACATTTTCTTTATTTCTATACTTTAGTTCGCGAATACTTATTACGAATGTCTAGAGCAAGTTGGTTTTCTTGTAGTTAAGCAATTTTAGTGCATACTCTATTTGTAGTCAAGCGTTGGGAAAAAAAATTTTTAAACGCTAAACGGGACGAGAGTTACATCAAATTAAATTAAAAATATATAATTATTTCTTCGATTAGGTATGATTGAAACAGTCGATGTGTAAGTTAAATGTATATTCAAATAAAACGCATTGTATAGAAGTTGTTCTTATTTTAATGCTTTCAAATGCATAATTTCAAATAGCATTTCAAATAAACAATAGACGTTATATTCTAGTTTTTCTTGCGTGGTCAACTTTTCAACAAATTATTTGGTATTGTTTTCGCGGCCCTGCAAACAAAATAAATTTCTCATTAATTCTTATCGCTTCTGATGCACATTTAGTTTTTTAAGGCACTTAAATTTAGTTAGTTTCAATGGAATTTGTAGGTGACACAAAAGTATCTCGAGTACTTGATAACAAGGCGTAATCTAAAAATTTAAATACAGGGCGGTCAATGTTATTCTACTTTCTGTCAACCTACACATTTCGTTAGCTGTTTAATAAAATTTATTTATACTAACCCGTATTTAAGGCAATCATTATGTGTTTTGTACTCCATTGTGGCACTTGGTGGTAAATTTAACAGTCGTTTTAACGCGTCCCTAATCCTGGCCGTTGTCGCTTGATCTGATGCCGTTCTATTCCAAATACTTAGAAGGTACTCTTGATACCTAGTCGATACTACTACTCCGCATATTTCGTTTCCAGCCTGCGAAAATCCGATAGTATTATTAATAAGTTTAAAAATATTTTGGTAAATACTTGCCATAAATTGTTCCCCTAACATGGCCATACACAAGTTTTCCCAAGCCCGACCCGCTTGTTCTTTCCTTAAGCGTATTACCTTAAATCGAGTAGCCTTACGTGAGAATTTGTTGGGGTAAAAAAGGAGCAGACTTACCCATTTTCCACCTTTTTTATTAGCCGCATCTTCCCACATGGGTTTGATTCCCTTTTTGAAAAGATGTATGTCTCTGTGCGCCGGTATGTCTTGCAATCGAACCATGTGAGAGTACAAGGCCCACCATTGTTCTACCGTACCCACCTGTCCAACTAACCTCAAAGCTTGACTATATCCCTGGAAATTAAAAAGGCGAATTGAGTTTGTCGTTTGTTTCAGATGGCTAATTCAAAGGGAATTTTGGAGGAAAAAAGCGCCTACTTGTGAACCCTGTATTTGTGAAGGTCTTTTCGAAAACCAAAGACAATAGGGATGTTGCAATCTGTGCTCGTTGGGTGGATATTCGACGGGCCCCAAATCCGAGATGTTGGGGCCCGATTCCTCGTCGCCGCTACCGCTGTCCGAATTATCCACATGGTGTTTCAATCTGTAAGAGACGACCGTAGTAAACAATGGACAAGTTTCAGATAGGAAATGACCCGTTATTTTTATGCTTACGATTCAAATTTGTTGGACATTTGCGTAGCCAAATTATTAATGTTATATACCATGAAATATTCTATCACAGCTTTTCGGTTTTAATTTATAAATAAAAACTATTTTGAAATTTTAGCTTATGCTGTCACTTCGTAAAAGTGTGTGTCTTTTTGTAACCAATACGATTGACATTGACATAAGCTTTATGTCATTTGTCAATGTCAATTGAATTGACTGTATAGCACACAAAGTACAGATCATAGACAAAATAGAGGGGCGTTGAGATTTGGTAACCCAATTTCAGTTGGCAGCAATGAAAATAAGCCCGATTTTTCGGTGTACAAATTTCATTACAAAACTATTCTTCCGATTTTTACGAATTGCGTTGAAAAAGCTTGCGTTTTTTTTCCAATAAACTCGACAAAACTTTTAGCATTCGACTTTCTTTCTCATCATTTCTACTGTAAAACAATAATAATGCCCAAAATGATAAATTTCATCCAGGACTTTCCGTAGAAGTACCTCTCTCCATATTATAAATATCTCCTGTTACTAGACTTCCTTGCATATTCTCTTCTTCTTCTATAAATTTATCAATGGAGATCTACGAAAACTTGTGCTCAAATCTCGAAATAAAACGTGAATTTGAAATTTCGTATTAGGAGAGCAGAATGTGCGAGGAGGTTTACTTATGACGCTTATTAATCGCGCTCCTGTTCGATTACAAATACGTACAAAGGCAACCATTTAATCAAATTTCGGTAATTCTGGTTGCCTATCTATTGTATTACTAAAGCGCGAGTAATAAGTATCAGGAGTTAACCTCTTCATACATTCTGCTCTCCTAATACGAAATTTCAAATTCACGTTTTATTTCGAGATTTGAGCACAAGTTTTCGTCGTTCTCCATTGATAAATTTCGGATATTATAGGCAATAAGAATATGCAAGGAAGTTCAATATCGGGAGATATTTAGTATATCGAGAGATATACGTCTAGGGAAGGTCCTGGATGAATCCTGATGCGTTAATAAATATTCCAAATGTTTCGTCGTTCTTGAAAACACATTTTTAAAGATAATTTAACATTTTGGGCATTATTAATAATTCTTTATTACAAAAATGATACGAAAATAGAATATTAAAAAATTTTTATGACATCCTTAATCCTGATTTTAGAATTCTTAGTATTTTTCGTTCATTAAAAAAACGCAAAACTTTTTCAACGCAATTTGTAAAAATCTGGAGCTATTAAAGCAAAAAGATCGGGAGAAACAAATATTAGGAGTTCGAGTAGTTTGTGTCAAACGTATGAAAATCTCACGATAAAACGTGAATTTAAGAATTCGTATTAGGAGAGCAGAATGTGTGAAGAGGTTTACTCCTGATACTTATTACTCGCGCTTTACTAATACAATAGATAGGCAACCAGAATTACCGAAATTCGATTAAATGGTTGCCTTTGTATGTATTGCTTCGAGCAGGAGCGCGATTAATAAGCGTCATAAGTAAACCTCCTCGCACATTCTGTTCTCCTAATACGAAATTTTAAATTCACGTTTTAATTCGAGATTTGAGCACAAGTTTTCGTCGATCTCCGTTGATAAATTTCGGATATTAGGCAAGGAGAATATGCTAGGAAGTCCAGTATCGGGAGATATTTATTATATTATATTAAATATATTTTTTATTCGAAAACAGAAGATTTTACTTCCTATGAGTTAGTTAGGCAATCCGTTTTACACCTACATATCCAGATAGAAGTGAAATAAATTATCTAAGGCATTTTTAATGGTAATGTTCTTTTTAAATCGAAATAAAAACCAGTAAGTTTTAGTTCATATTTATTAATTCGTTTTTTTTTTGAATACTTATCGGATCGCAATCATTCAAGCGTACAAAAATATATTATTAACACATTTACACCATGTTTAATTAAATTACAAATCTTAATACTAATAAATATATGAAAATTCGAAACAGTGTTAGGTTTTCATCTTGCTACTATAGGATAATAGAAAAAATAAAATTGTGTAACAAAGAGGTCGTTAACTATAAATTTTACTATCGTAAAATACTAGTAGGATAACAGGATTCTATTATCTCAACTGCCTGTATCTAAATACGAACTTTAAATAGTAAAATGTGGCACTAATTCGAGGAGATATCTTAGAAATACAGAGAGTTTTCACCGGAGTGTAGAGGTAGTTAAAATTAAAAATAAATCCATAAATTAGTCTTTACGGGAGTCATTTATGGAATTCGTAAAAGAGTGTATTTTGAATACGCTTTAGCTCGTATAATTTAGATACAGGAGAAAAGGAAATATTCTTAAGGTCTATTGCATTGTATATAAGGAACTTAGTATTCTTGAATATCAAACAGTTACTGTTCATATATAGTGTGAATCGGTTTGACAAAGGACGTAAAGCGCATTATTCGAGATACTTGCTATTCAATTCGTATATCACGCTTTGAATTCTTTGTAAAACCGTTTGCGGCTATTATCCCACAGCTCAAGCGACTTTACACTTTAGTTTATATGCGCTTAAAAAAATAATTAGAAATTAAGAATGCCGAACAGAATCGATCGAAATTAATGTCGAATAGGTAACTGTAATTGGGATGGACGTTTCGAGAAATCGATAAGTTTTTATATCCCAATTGCAATTATTTGTTTTTTAATAATATGATAGTCCGTTGGCTTGCAAACACATAAACTAGCAGCCTCACATATCAGACTTATAGGTACATAACCAAAAAAAAAACATATATAACGGAATTGTACGAGTTGAAAAAAATTGTATAACATTTGTCGGTGTAAAGCGTGTGAAAACGTGAAAAAAATCATACTCAAGATGCCCTGAGGTATAAAATAAAAACGTACGTATATAACCATAAATTAAATATAACAAAATAACTATAACTAACATTAATACTTAATATAAAACATAAATAATAATGAGGTAGTTCGTCTAACTGAATAAACAGTTTGTTTTTTAAGTAATTGAACAAAAACGGCATTGATCAATAAGAAAGTAACAAGTCTTAAATCATAAAAAAAGCACTTTTTAGCAATTTTTTCAAATGGAATTTCACCATTAGGTTGTCACAACAAACCTATTGGTGCCTCCGGTAATTTACATAAAAACAGTTTATAATGGATGATTTTCAAAACTATAATTCGAACGATTCACTGGTTAAAATTGACTGTATATAAATAAATAAATGAGGTAATGCGTACAGGGTGGGCTGTAAAGGAAATAAAAATTTTCACTGGTCGGAAAAAAAATCATCCACATATTGAATGCATAAAAGCTACAAACAAATCGATAAAGTTCTGATTGAAAAAACTATTGCTTTAGTTTTTTTTGTACATGTAACATTGGAATGTAGTTGGTAAAAAATGCGAAGAGAGGGTAACTGTTTATTAAGCGGCCTATTTAATACTTCAGATGGAAATTTCTAATCGAAAACTTCCCTATTGTACAGATTAGAAATTTCTATTTTCAAGAAGGAATGTTTCTATGAGGTATATTATTTCTCTGAACCCTGAATATTATTTTTTTAAGTAATTTCAACCATGTTCACTTCAAACTACTAAGTAAATTTTTACAATTTATAAAAATATCGTGTCAAAGAGGTTACTTTTAAATGTTGAATTTCTATTATTAAATATTACTTGAGCATTTTTCCTTTAGTTTCAAAACAATGTATGCAAAGAAATTTGTTTTAAGGCAAACGAAGGTTATGGACATTTCCATTTCTTTTGTATTTTTTTGAAAACGGTAATGCATAATCGTTCGTTTTTGCGCATAACTACGGGAAAACGGTAACTATACAAAACGGAAACTACTCTAAAAATATTTCGAGAAAAAAAATAATCGTTGTTTTTGTACAATGTAAAAGGCACATACTAATTAATCTGTGACATAAATAACATTACTTTTATAAAAGAATTTTGTACGCACTGTTTTTCTTATTCCTTTCAAACAACAGATTATTCTTTGGACATTTAATCATTTTTTTTTCACTTTTTTTAACCAATACACATCTGCGGTAACGTCTAATATATAACAATTAACACGGTTCTTCCAATTATGTAACATTTAACATATTTTAACAATTATACAGTAAGTTTTACGCACATCTTTTCACAACAAACACAAACACGCAGTCACATTTAGAAGGGACTCGACGTTTTCCTGCAGTCACCTTTAGTAAACAATTACATTTTTAATATTTCGAATATGTCTCGAGTGCTGGACTCGAAAAGACGACAGGAAAACTGGCCCATAAACTTACCATATAGAGTGATGTTCGTTAAGCCGAAAAAATGAAATGAACAAACGTTAACTGTCGGTGTAATATGTATGATACAACTGTATGTACAATCATCTTAAAAACTAGCTATATGTAGAGAGTTTCAGGTACCAGGTATTTTAAACTATCAATAACGTAAATGTTAGATTCACACCAATTTATCTAACGGAAAAACGTTTTCCCCTTAAATCTAACGTGTACTCTTGCTCTATTAATTGAAGTTAATCTTTTATTGATTATACAAATTGGTGTGATCGGGCGATACTTTTAGAGTTGGGCAAAATCGCTGAAAATATAATTTTAAAAAAATTTTGATTTTCGCTCGACTAATACGTAAAGGACAATTTTATGTAAATAAATAAATAGAATTTATACAAGGCGTTAATGGAATCAATGAGTCGTAGAAAACGTGATAAAAAAATCTCGACATGCCCGCTTCTAACAGCAAAAATTTCTCCTAAATTATGGTTCGTTATATTGAGCAATAATTATATATACAAAAAAAATAAAAATATTCGTTGTTGTTCATCAATATATCAGAATATTGCCGATTAAAAATTTCAAATAATATCCGTTTTTTCAACAAAACAAAAAAATCAGTCCTATCGATTATTACTCGTGTATATAAAAACCGTCTTGTCGTGTCTTTGAATTTACTTTGAACAAATAAAAAAATATGTCATCGCTCTCCCAAATCCGTCGGTCAATTACAAATCCTCCGAATCCAACAATAAAACAATAATATTTCGCCTATCTCATCCGAGACCCGTTTACCCGTTGGGCCCCAACACCGGCGACACCCTCCTATTCACGTCGCCCAGCGTCTCGTCCAAACGCGTCGATCGCGTATCGTTCAACGACGACTCCTCCGAATGCGCCTCGTCGCACGACGAGCCCCGCAAATCGTCGTCGTGCCCGGCCAAATGCGGGTCGCACCGGCGCCGCCCGCCCGCCTTCGATCTCTTCGACTTCTCGAACAGCTCGTGCAGATCGTAGAACTTCGACGGTTTCACGTTGGAATTCGAGTCCTCGTCGAAGCGCATCGACGACAGTTTGTCGCAGTCGAACGCGTAGTACTGCGGGGGAAACGTAAATGGAATTTGTATAATAAGCGTAATGACGGTTCACAATGGTGGTGTATATTTTATGAAAGAGATGATTAATTTACTTTCGCTTTAAACTCGACAATAATGGAGTGATATAATTAACTGCGTCGGTCGGGCTATTATTCTTCCGAGCCGTCTTGAATTAAATATGATTTATAACGCGCGAAACATTAAAGTCTTTTGTTTTCATTAAAAGAAATGGTCGTTCATTGTCTTTTTTCTTCTCCAAAAAATCCGCGTTAATTAATTCATTTTTCACTACAGAATATTTTCTTACCTGCGGATTCTCCGTGATGTGAACGTGCCCGTTCATATACGGTTTAGCCGTGCCGTTCGTATGACCATTGGGAAACTCCTCGCCTCCCTACGAAAACCCAACAATATAAAATATATCCCATCGCATTCGTACGTTTCCATTATAGTTAAATTCAGCTAAGTTGAATACACCACGTGTTTTTTCGCGCACAACATCATAAAAGAGGCCGTTTTCGATGCAAATAACAAGTAATGAATTACAAATAAACCCCAACTCAACGTTTGCTGATATCGAGTATACTGTGGATGGTTCGCCGGTCATACTTTTGGGATAAAACCACGCCTATCTCTTTGGTTTCGTTTGTGCGCATTTTTACAGCTGTATTCAACCTTGTTGAATTTATCTTTACCTTGGTATCGAGATGATCGGCGTTCCGCACGACGGCCGTCAATTGCGGCACGTCCAGCAATCGCGTCTCCTGTTCGCGCTGGTCCAATCGCACCTGTACGGCGCCCGCTTGCGGAGCGTATCGCGCCACCGGCGGATAGTAATCGCTCGAATTCGCCGAGCCCGACGACGCGGCCAGCGCGCGACGTTTCACGCACTTCCTGCGCTCCAATATGCACGCCGCGCAGCATATTATGCAAAAGACGGCTATTATCGAACCGACGATGAAGCCTAAAAAAACAGAATTTCATCCAACACTGGGGGCTTACTAGAGGGCTTACTTCAGCTTCTGTTAATAATAGATACAATGATCGGCAGACCTTTCGCTCACACTGATTTCCCGTTCGTTTTTAGTACACCCCTCCGCTTAAATCGATAGCAAACGAGCGAGAGTTGTGGTGAACCGATCATGGTACATCATACAACAATCCATTCTACATGATTTTTTTTATGGAAGTGGTGCCAAACTCACCGACTTTTTGATTGTACGCGGCGTCCGACGGTGAAATCTCCGCTTCGGGCGCGATTTTGGTGGTGACGTTCAAGGTGGCCGGTTTGCCGAAACCGACGTCCGATACGGCCCTCAGGAATATCGTGTAGCGAGCGGTGACGTTCAACTGGGCGAGTACGGCGCTCTCTTCGGTACTATCGTCGGGATAGACGGTCACGTTGGGCCATCTTTCCAACGGTTTGTTCAAATCCGACGAGTAGAATATCTCGTATTTGCGGATCTTGTTGGCTTTGGTCTCTTTGGGCCGGCGCCAATAGAGAATCACGGCGCTGGCGTTGATTATTTTGTACTTTAGATCGCCGACTGCGGGTGGTACTGTAAAAAAAAAATATAGTATAATGCGTTTGTGTGTAACGAGGAAGCTTAGAAGTACCATCGGCCAATGTGAACGCGTAGGCGGGTTTCGAAAACAACCCCGGAACTCCATCGGCGTTGTGGGCTCGCACTCTGCACTCGTACATCGTCGATGGTTTCAATTTCTTGATGCGAATTTTATTACCGGTGCTATTTCGAAAACAAAACCGTTTTGCATTACACACGTGTTTGTTAATCGAACAACAAACTCACCTGTTCCAATACGAGTATTTGCCGTCGTCGCAGGTGCCCTGGTCGCCGTCGACGCGACAGCACGCCGTGAAATACTTGGCGTTTTTATCGGTATTGACCCAATTTAATTTGACGACGAAAGGCGATACGGCGACGGCGTTCAGGCCGACCGGCGGACGCGGTTTCGCTTCGATCGTGGCATTATTATCGAATTCGCTCGTCGACGAATTGTTCGATGAATCCGGTATGAGGTAGGACGTCCAGGCGATCGGATCCCTGCCGTCTTTGTTCGTCGAAAATACGCGAAAATTGTATTCGACGCCCGGCGTTAGATCTGGAAATAACGTTTCGCTTAAACGGAATTATCTCGAGCGACGTGGAACGTACTTAAAACGAACAGTCTCTTTCGCATCGAAGCGGTTTGTATTTGCCAGTCGGTCTTCCATTGGACTTTGTAAGGGTATTTCTCGCCCGCGCAGGACACATCCGTGCTGATTTCCGACCATTTCAATACCACTGCAGTGGCGTTTCGTTTTTCTACCGTCAAGTTTCGATCGCCCGTAACACCTACAAAGGATGATGGTTGTTAAATTTAACAAGATAGCAGTTTAATAAAAACGTACCAGTTTTGCATGTAACCCTCTCCGATGGATCGCTGGCGGCCGTCGAATACAATCTAACGTAAAAAGAGTACGTTTTATTATCGACCAAACCGTCCGCATCTTTCGCCGTAACGTTCGTCGCGTAATCGAATCCCTCGATTTCTTCTCCGTCGGCTATTAAAAAAAAGCGTACGATTAAAATATTAACATTTCACCACGCGTTATCGAACTCACAATTATTGTAAAACGAATGAATGCTGTAACCGGTCACGCTAACGTTAATCGGTGGCTTCCAATTCAGGCAAATCGTCGAGGAATTGTAGGGCCTGCATTTGAGATTCTGCGGCGGTTGGGGCGTTTGGGATATATTTATTATGTCAATTTGTACTGCCGTCCAAACCGTACCAACCGCATTCTCGGCGACGCATTGGTAAATTCCTAAAAAACACATTGATTAAAACACCAACAAACCCAGCAGTTACTTAATTCCTTAAAGCTTGAGGCACACTAAAGGGCCCCATTCACGTTGAGATCGGTACTGATACATTTGTATGAGATTTATACCGAGATATCGACACTTTTGCGACAAGCATCGATACTAATCTCAACGCGAATGAGGCCCTTAAGAAGTCGATATCGACAGAATCCGTACCCGAATCGTTGGTGACCGAATTCCTCAAATACACGCCGTTCGTGTGATTCCAAACTCTCGAATTGAACTTCAACAATCCGCCGTTCTTGAGCCAATAGACGCGCGGCTTGGGCGTCCCGTCGGCGCGGCAATCCAGCCTGGCCGTTATGGCGGCCGGATAGGACTTCGACGTCGGTTTCACGGCGAAGACGGGCGCCCTCAGAACGACGACGTCGTGACGTCGACGGACGGCGCCCAAGGCGTTGTACGCCGTACACGTGTAGGCGCCGGCGTCGCCTTGCTTTACATCAGGTACTTCCAATACGGATCCGTTACCTATGACTATGTTGTGTTCTAAAACGAGAATCAATTGTGATCAAATATTAGAATATATAATGGTCTAAGGGTGTAACACAGACAACTTCCATTAGTTCCATATAAAGGAAAAAGTAACTAACATTCTCACTCTAACCACTGTTATTGTAACAATGTTTCTTTGTTCAAATCGTGGAATTGACCGTATTGAAAACAAATTTAAATGTATCTGTATATCTCACCATTAAGCCATTGTACTGTAGGTATAGGCCATCCCATCACAGCACAATATAATGTGAGTTTTTCACCAGCGAGGAGAGTGACGTTCGGTGAAATGTCGAGAGGTAGAATTGAAGGTTCGGCTGCCTCGGGTAACTCGGGCAGCACCGTCACATACGCTATTTTACTATATTTAATTTCGTTAAGTATATAATTTGTTGCTTTACACCTGCAAAAGTAATTAACGATAGAATAAACGGAAACGTTGCTATTTATTTGTGATAAGTACTCACCTAAAAGCTCCGTTGTCGGAACTCTGAGAGTTTTGTATTAATAGGACCCCATCGGGTAAAGGAACATAACTGGAATGAAAATAAAAATAATGTACCTTTTTGGTTCGTTTAATTTATGAAACTCCAACGCGATTCGCGAAACGATTGGCGATTAGCAACAAAAAGGAACGAATAAATTCGAGTTATTAATCGAATCCGGCTACTCCAGCTACATTAACGATTTGTAAAATACTACTTTTAGATGCCCGTAATTCATTTTATGTGTCACGATATCGCCCGTAAAATATTATGGGCAAGTAATTTTTAGTGCCAGTTCATGACACGTTTTGTGCAACTTAATGTTAATAATTTTCGCGTATTTATTTACAAAAGCTTTTTTCCCGTTTCCCGGTGAATTCCCGACGTGCGGGAGAAAATCGTGGAAACTGGAAACGGGTATACGCATCGATAAATTGACTATACAAACCTTGTTTGGTGAGGTAGTATTGGATTATTATTAAATTCCCATTGAATATCGACGGGCGGCGTAGACTGAATACCACAACGGAGTATTGTAGGCTGGGAAAGGTAAATAGTTGAGTTAACAGGGTTTATAGAAAACTCCTTTTCCATTGCTGCAGAAAAAAGAAATACGTAAATTGATATTTTTGTATAAACGAGAGAAGTATTATAGAAGATCAAATAATTTAATTCAAAAAATTGTAACTTCAAGTGACATGTGACATCTACTCCATCTTGTTCTCAATCAATGTCAAAAAACGGCCTTTTACTTATCGATAATACGCAAAACCTACTGTAATAAACAGACGAATTTATAAGTTAAAATTTACTAGTAGAACTTACAGGCTAGTTTCAACTCGGCCACGTTGGAAAGCAGGGCTCCGGCTCCGTTCCGCGCCAAGCACCGGTATTCCCCCAGGACATTCTCCTCGGTATTCTCCGCGACTTTCGGAATGAACAAATCACCGTTGCCGCGTATAATCCAATTCGAGCCGGTCGAGATTTTCTCCTCATTGTGGAACCAACTCAGCTGTAAATCGAAAACATCACGTAAAATGTCACAAGTGACGTTTCCGAGTTTTTTTTTTCAACGCTAACTCGATTAGCTGTCAAACAGTGGTCTTGTACTTGTTTAGGATATAAGGGGTGTTACCTGCACTCGGCCCTTTCGGGATTCCGCTTGGCACTTCAGGAGAGCGCTGTTTTCCTTTTTGACGATCACATTCCGAGGATCCGTTAATTTCAAGGAGATGTCAATGTTCGGTGTTTCGAATGCCGCACTGCCAAATGCTGAAACAATTAGAAGAATGCACATCTGAAATGTCAACTTTCGCCACAGATCAAAATGGATACCAACTGCTTTCATCGTCAGTGGTACCAACTGCACGTAGAGTGAATATGCGGGATAATTCCAGAGGATTTTTTTTTTTCGTACGATCCGGGCTAGTTAACATAAAACGATGTCGCGAAAAAAAAATGGAAAAAACGAATCCGAATGAATAAGTTAAATCGCGTCGGCGGTGGCGAATTTAAATGGCTAACCTGCCGGCGAAAAATTCAAATTCTCGTACGGTTAAATAGAAAACAGATTTGTCAATTGTGTGATTTAATGCGATACCGGCCGAAATTGTCGTATTATTCAAGCCTTGCATCGATACGATCGGGCCCCAGATCGTCTGGGAACGGTATAATTTCGCCTCATTTGCCTATTTTAATTCTTAAAGTTTACATGCTAGATGTTCAAATAAAAATAAGAGTGAGTTAATAAGGTTGTACTAAAACTTGGCTACATTGTATTTGTAAAAAAAAAATCACTAAATCTACGGAAATTGTACTAAACGTGACAACGGTGTATATAAAACCTCGTAAATACAGCGAAATTATTCGAAACGGGCCGTTTGTAACAAAAAACGGGGAGTTTTAATGTGTTTAGATTAAATTTGGATGTATCTTAACGAGATTTTTTTTCGTCGTTCTCAAAAGAAGTGGAAACATGTTTGGAGAAACTGGATGGGAGAAGAGAAAAAAAAAGAGTTCAATTGAGCGCGCAATTACGCAACATTGCGTATTTACTCGGAAAATATATGGGGCAACTCTTAACTCTCATAAATGATAAAGGGGCTGCCGGTCGGGCATGCGGGCCTTTTAAATGAGCCTCGTTTTTCATCTTTTTCTTATTTTCCTTATCGCGATATCCATTTTTTTTATAGAATTTTTTGATACATTTACATTACATGCGTACCTGTAAATATAAACTTCACGTTAAGGAGCTAATAAATCGATAAAAACGTTGGATCCTCATGATAAATATCGAATTCCCGTTGAAATTTTTCATTATTATTATACATACAACATCCTTCGAATAACGAAGAATCGATCAAATATAATTGGAAAAAAGGGTTGTTAAATTCGTTAAAGTTGTTAAAAGTTTTCGCTCCATTAATTATTTATCGCACGCGCGCTGGGGAATCACCGGCAAATATCGATTCGTATAGGCAACGTGAAATGTAATTAGATCATAAAAATGACGACCTGCTTCATTATTTATTCGTAGTAATTCCGTACTTAATAGACTTCGATGGGAAAACTGATGCCTGATGTCGATAACACAAATGACAATCTGCACAATAGCAAATTTAACGACGATCGAAAGTTAAAGTTTTCGAATCGAAATCGAACAGAAAAAAATCGATTCTAATAACTAATAAGAACCGTGCGCTGTTTACAAAACAACGCGAGTGCGTAGGAAGTTCACGCACTTCTCCACACTTACGATTACGCTCTTTATACTCGTATTTATTTATTATCTTTTTTTTTTATTTCGATAGCCCATCCAGCGAACACCGGTCGAGCTCTCGCGGCTTCGCCATTGACGCGAAGGTCGATACGCTGGGGCCCCGTTCGGATCGCCTAGAATACACTGCGTCTTGGCGAGGGAAGGGGGGCGCCCGGGGGGCTCCGGTAACCCCTTAATTTTAATTGAATTCGCCGGGTTTCCGGCGTGTCCGGTGCGAAGAATAGCGTTAAAAAATCGACAGATTTTGTGGGTTTTTTTTCACTCTATATTTTGTTATTTTTTTAATTCAAGTAAAGTTGTCTAATAAAGCCGATTAACTAGCTATAAGTGTGTTTAATGTGGAATAAATGATTTGTTTCTAAAGAAAATACCCTTTCTTTTAATGCTAGTAATTAGACAGTTTCTTACTATTTTTTCTTGTTTTATTCGAGCAGATAATAAATATTTTTTTACAAATAAAATCCCATTGGAAGAAATAAACGGGTACGCCGCTGGCGCAAATCGAACACCTAGATAATTTACTTAACGCTGGATAAAAAAAATAACCCAACAACTATTTGAGAAAGTCATCGAACTCGCGTAACATTAGCGAGAAAATCGATAGAACTCATTTCGAGGAGAACGAAAAAAGCAAAAAAAAACGACGTCTAATTGCGGTTTTTACTAGAAATTCCGGCTAAATTCGAAAATTTCAGGTCGGAATAAACGTTTAAAATTAGACCCGCCCGATTCGTTTTCTCTATTCGCACCGAAAATTAATGGCGACTCGAACAAATATTCCTCTCAGTGTAGTAACCGCAAATCGAAGTTACACTTGAAAAAAAATCCCTTAATTTTTATGCATTTATCGGCTACACAAAGGGATTAAATTCAAACGCCCGGTGGAGATTGTGATGTGCAAATAACCTGTAACCTTCCGTAAAGCCGTCTGGCGATCGGAGAATTTAAAACAGGACGAATTACATCGGAATAATTCTTTCAAATCGAATCGATGGCTGGCCAAATTTATTCAAATAGCCGGGAATAATGTTTACGCAAACATCGAATTTAGACGAATGTCGACAAGACCGGTTACCTAGGACAATGTATTTTGTTTGTCCTCAAATTAACCATTTTTTAAAGACCCTACATTAAACAACACCATTAACATATCAAAAAAGCTTTTAAACTCAATTTCCATCTTAAAAGTCCTATTAAACAAACCTGAGACTCCTTCCAAAAAGGTATTATTAAAACTAATTAACGTAATTATCTACGTTATTTTTGGCAAAGCCCAACTCTAGTAACATACAAATTTCCCTATCTGAGAGATGTCATTAAGAGGTATGAGAGGTGGGTGTGACGAAAAGTAACAGGTACGTAATTCCAGAACTATAAGCTCGTGCGAAAGTTTTATCTTAATTGACGAAGTTCCACACGTACTCGAGGATTATGTGTTGATTATTCCACTGGAATTTACTCGAAGATTAAAGTAACTTAAATTATATATTACGTGCATTTGAATCGTATATAAAGATAATTCCTGAACTTTGGGAGATTTTCGACATTAAAGGCTTCAATGGGGATTGTTAATTGTAATTCGTCTATCCGAAATAATTAATTATTTAAACGGGCGCTGATAATAAATTTCAATCCAAATAAAACCTACGTTACGGCGTAAAACATTTTCACTTCGATTTTCTCGGCCTTCTCGCGAATCTCTTAAATAAATTATAATTGATATTCGCCATTCAGCTCCTTACCTGATCCCTTAATTCGATTTCCCGATTGGAAAGCGCGTCCCTTTTACCTCGAGTTTCCTTTCATTCCGGCGGCAATCCTTTTCATATCTCCCACGTTTAGCATTCCCGAATTCCATTAGATTAACATACAAAATATACCGGGCGTTATAAACTACCAAAAATAGTCGATTTTTACCGAGTTTCTTGGAGCTAACATCCCGATGATATCTATATAAAAACGGAAACTTTGTGTGTGTTTTCCTTTATCTAAAAACTCCTTTCTCGAGTTATCGGAATTCCCTATCGAAGTATTATCCTAATAAATTACCGGCTGAGCCGACTCGCAAGCAAACAGAACAGATATTCATCATTATTAACGGCGCTTTTCATCCTATTATACCGTTTTCCGAAGGATAATATTCGAAAAGAAGCAGCGTTGCCAAACCAATTACGATGAAAAAAAAAATCATCGTTATCATATGAAAGTTCTTTAGAATAATCCCACCCTGTCCTGGCCGAAATACCGCATAGTATCAGGCCATCGCCGGTCGAACGGGGCGGGTTGTTTCAACCCCCGTGCAGTGGCGAGTGCATTCAACCCGATGCAGCTTGTCCTAGTTGAAAATGCGGTCGATAGTACGCCGTTTCAATGGGGAAAAACTCGCTCGAAAACGATAATAACATCGCGAACGAGGAGGGATTTTTAGTCGGGAACCGTTTCGGAACCAGTTCGAAAGTTATCATTTAAAATGGAACTGCAGTAGTGGCAATCGTCGGAGTAGAAAATAAAAACCATATGGGGTGGTCTTCGATGCGGAACTAATATTAGGTTCTCGGGCACTTACTTGCATAACTGTAAATGCATTCGTTTATTAGGTGCATGTAGAGTTTATCTGGTCGTGTTCTTGCACGTAAATCGACTTATTCCCTCAAAATTTAACCAAATACTTGATGTAGATGATCATAAAATGCAACGAAATTTTGATGGGTATCTAATAGAAGTTATCACTCGAATTTGAGAACAAACAACTAACTTTGCGGGACCATAATTTTAAAACACCCCGTATAAATATATGCAAATTTGGAGCGTTAATTAATCTGGTAACGCCACTGTCCTGTCGGATCAGGATCTCCCGATGCGAAACGACGCAGCAGATGAATTTTTATTGATTTTAAATTTTCTCTCCTTGACATAATAAATTGAAATTTATATGAAAATATTCCGCGCTCGTCGCAGAGCTCCGCAAACATCCCGAAAAAGCGAAAACAATGAATTCGATTTCCACAATTTTACAACCCCTGGGGTACACATAAACATATGTAAAGGAATGCACATCGAAATATTTGACATTTGACAGCGTTATATCTTCACGTTCCGTGTCAAAAACATCAATTTCCAATACACCCTTATTTACTCTCGGTAATTCGAACCCGCGGTGTTTCGTCCAAACAAATCCCCCCTCAGCGAATATTTCCACTAAAACAATATCAATCTAGTTAACCTTGACCGTTTCCGGATTGATTATGAGAAATTCGCTATCGAATAAAATATATAAAAAAATAGTTAGTGCACGCGGTACGAGCGAGAAGAAATTGATCGCCCGTTCATTGATTTATTGGCGATACGTGCGTTCGATTTCGTCGATGCGAAATTTTCGAACGTGCTAAATTAATTATTGGATTCGATAAACGACGATTACAGGATGCTGAACAAACCGTATAAATATATCCTTTCAATTGCGAGATTAATTAGCATAATGAGGTGACATGTATGAGATAATAATGCGGTAGGTTTATTATCCGTTTATATAGAATGTACTATAATAGTTTCAATCTAATTATTATTGTTTAATTCATACAACGATGATTCACTGTATTTTATTTCTCCTGGCCTCTTACCGAAAAAGGTACCCAGCCAATTTATTGAACCCAAAGGAAGTGTTATGAATCGATAAAATCTAGTGGGTTACCAAAAATGAAGAATTCGAAAACTTTCTATTCGCTAAACATTATAATAGAATGTTTTCGACGCCCCCGTATTCTCTTTAACTAAAAATGCTTTTGTATTGTTCGCATCGCCTGCACTAAATTTCAAACGGTTAAAAAATAATAAACAACACAACATTTTTTTAGTAATTAATATCTTAATCGCCTAGTGAAACTGATTACTCCCGGTATAAATAACGGTGAAGAAAGCGATTGAAATGTAATTTATTCGATGTACGTTACCTACACTTTCAAGGGAATAGCAAGAGACTAATTACGTCATTTGAATTACTGAAAAATACAGGGTGATTCCAGTATTACTACTATTTTCCACATAACCCTGTATACAGGATGGATAAATAACTCGAGTACAAAAAAACCGTTATAATAGTTTCAGAAAAGCATTAACAACTCGTAGATTAGACGAAATAATTAATAAATTCGAAATTTTTGTGTAATTAAATGGAAATAGGATATGGCTTGCGAAACGGAAGAACGTAACACATGTAGCTCGGTAGAATTTAATTTAGTCAGAGAAAAAAAAATAACGCGTAATTTATTCAAATTCGACCGCACAAATTAAAATTGTACACCCGCGGGAACGTCGCAAATTCGATGCAATTACAAACGTTTAGTCACGAAATAATTCGGAATATTCCAATTAATTCGATTCGTAACGGGATATAAATTTTATATATTTCGCTGCTCTTTTCTATTGTACTTTTCAAATCGCTTTTGACTAACGAATGCGAATGGTATTTTTCCGATACTTGTACGTGTAAAACGAGTTATGGAGATGGAAATCCGGTGATTTTTCTTCCACCTACGCTTTCCCGCTTTTCCTTATATCCGCGATTTTTAGAAGAAATTTCTAATCGATATTAACCCACATTAGGAATAAATACGTGGGTGTTTAATTGCGTGAAATATCGCTCTGCACAACTTAATAAAACAATGTAAAATTCAATTAAAATTTACGCACGTTAATTTAATTAACGAGCTTTGTTTAGTATCCAATTAACTAATACAGTTAAAAAATAATTACGAAACGAGTCAATAAACCCTAAAAGAATCGAAATATAAAAAAAAACAACATAATCGAAAACTATTCGATCGGATGTGCAACGTAAACAAATCGAGTAACCTATGGAAAAAAAAATTAACGTGACAAGTACGTTCCCATTCAACACACGATCGTGTTTTTGTTTTGACAGCGAAAACCGAAACGCTCCGTATACTAAACTGTCGTTAACCCGCATTTACGACATTCGGGAAATCGGAAAAGCGACTGTTACGTAAACAAAAAGCGGGGAAACGCGTGTTTTCCTAACAGGTAAACACCGAGTCCACGGCCTACTCGAAAACGAAAACACGCCGCCATATTGATACACAAAACGACGAATGCTGCGATAATTCGAATTCGAAACCGAATAATGGACCTACCTGAATCCGAATTAGACTCCAGTGTACATCCTATTGCAAACAGAGCGCCGAATTGAAGAATCCTCCACGCCATATATATGTATTCATTTGGGAAACGTTGATTGGAAATTCTATTCACCCACCAACCGCACTTCTAAACACGCACGTATTAGCGTATTAGATACACTGAAGCAGCGCGATTCCGAATTCCGATTACGCCGCGATTCGGCGTTCGCTAACCATTCGCTTAGGCAAGGCTAGAGCGAAACGAAACGAAAAACGATACGAAATGATCCTTTTTCCTTGTTCCGTGCTTCCTGCTCCGTTCTCTGCGCTGTTCCTTTTTATACTGTCATACGTCATACTGTCGAGTAAGCGTTCTGTCACTTTGCCGTTCCATCCGAACTGTCAGTTAACATTGCCAACCTTAAATTTTATCTCTGCTATCTAGGTAACTGGATAGCCCTCGAAGCTAAGATCAATAACATTAAAAGAAGTAGAAGAGGTTTTTTTAAAATAAATCAATTACTACAAAAATAAAACAAAATTAATATTAAGAATAAGTTTATTATTTACCGTCGGATAAATAATCCAAAAAAATGTTTACTTCACAAATTAACTAGCTAAACGCATAAATTTCATCATTATTGCTGTGAGAAAACAGTAAAATACAAGACGATTTTCCTTTTTCGACATCACACAACGTGACTTTTATATAAAGGAATCCATTCGCAATACATTCGTGAATAAACGTAAAAAATGAAAAATAATAACAGGAAACCCTCTCCCTATCGGTGATGTCTTCTCGAAGAATATCTACCTCTGTACCTATCCTTTGACCTGCTCCTCGACGATCCGGACGATGAGCGTCGGCGTCTCTTCCCCCTAGATCTAGACCTCGATTTAGTCTTGCGACTTTTCTTCCTGCTAACGTAACAAACGGACAATTCAATTATAAATTTTTACACATCTACAGGATGTTTGTGTACAACGAAAACAATTACCCGGATCTGTCGCTGTCCGAACTATCCGAGCTGCTACTGCTAGAACTCGACGAACTCGCCCTTCTTTTTCTATCGTCCTTTTTCCCGTCTAATTCTTGGAGCACCCTGTACGTCTTCAACAATTTCTCCTTCTCGACCGCCTCGCGTTTCGCCTTTTTCGCTTTCTCCAGCATTTCGCTCTCCTCTTTAGCTTTACGTTGCTTCTCCTCCATCAATCGCTACGATGAATTAACATTAAGACAAACACATCGAAAACCATTTAATAATTACCATTACCATTTCTTCTTTTTTCTTCAATTCCAGCAACTCCATCTTTTTGCGCAAAATGAGCAATTTCCTGTACTTCTCTTCGGCGTCTTTGTCCACTTTGAAAACATCCTTTTCCTTTTCCTCGTCCTTCTTGCTTCTATCCTCTTCCGGCGATTTCGATCTGTTCGCTCTTTCGTTGCTCTTCGATCGCCTTCTAACCGATTGGGAAGTCTTCCTTGTTCTGTTACGCGATCTGCTCCTTTTTCTCTGCTCCCTGAAACATCCACAAACCTCTAAATACCATCATTCATATAAAACCTCTCGGATTTAACCACACATGATTCTTACACATTTAAAAACACCACCATGTATAACTTACCTCGGTCTCTCCCTATCTCTCCTCTCCTTATCCCTATCTCTTCTGCTTTTGTCGTGCCTTCTGGCTTCTACGTATCGACCGTTTCTTTCGAACCGGTTCTCCTCTACCGCCGGTTTCTCGGTCTCGAACTTGTTCCTGCTACGCTTCTCTTCCACCTGAAACGTTATTAATTCAATAGTTAAATCGCAGGTGCAAATTAATAAGATCCGTCACCTTGCTGGCCATCTGCGAAGGCATTTGAACGTTCTCGTGCCCAGCCAATTCCAACAGGCGCGCCGTCACTTTACCGAAACGATTGTTCTGGTTCTTCGCAGGCGGCGCTTGCCCGAATTTCCCTTGTCTTTGCTGCATTTTGTTGGCGTACCCGCTCAATTTCATCTCGCCCGTCGGCGGATCCTCGCCGGTTTTGATCTGAACGCCTGAAACAAAAAAATATAATCACGAATTTGTACTCCAAACACCAGCGAAAGCGACCAAAAAATTACCGAGAGCCATCGCCAAGAAATCCGATCTCTTATTGATCTCCTCGGCCTCCTTCTCCTCCTCGTCTACCTGCTTGATTTCCCTCTCCAGCTCCTCCTTGCTCTTGTATCGGTTGTAAGCGCCCGGCAGGGGATACTGCACCAAGCTGGGCACCAATTTCCTCGAATCCTCCTCGTCGGTGTGATCCTCGTAATCCAACGCGTTGTAATCGACCTCGCGGTTTTTCGCGGCCGCCGGCTCGTCGGCTTGCGGCGTGAACGATTTCCCGAAGGGCAATTCGGGCGTGCCGCTTCGCCGCCTCTGCTCTCTGGTCTCGTCGAGCTTCCTCCGTTGGGTCTCGAGCCGCTGCAATTCCGACATTTTGATCACGCGCGACTCCTCCTTGCGCCAATGGACGGGCGTGCCGCTGCGGGAACGGCTCCTGGACGGCGTTCTGAACCTCTGGAATACGAAGAATAGATGTGACCGAACAGGTCGACAGAACGAGGCCCAATTTTCACTCGGTTAGGCTTTTAAACTTACGAATTTTCCACGTCCTTTGATTGTCCTTCCGCTTTTCGATGTCAATGGTCTGCCTCTTCGATTGAAGTTCGAATTCCAGTCTCTTTTGCCTCTGTCCCTGTCGTTTCTTTCCCTGAAATTCCTGTCCCTTCCGCTATCTGCAAATAAAGTACACAATATAATTCATATGCACAAGCGAATTTTAATTATATGTACCTTTTTTGTTTGGACGATCGTCCGAATTCTCATTGTCCTTTTTGTTTTCGCCTCTCATTAGAAATTTATTTTTAGGCACCTCCGGTATGTCGTCCGGGTTAATATTAGTGACGGTTACCAAAGGATGCGGTTCCAATTCGCCTTCGTCCTTTTCCCCTTCGGATTTTTCCTCTTTTCTGTTACAAACTAATGTTATTAGAACTCCTACATTATAATAATACTAACTTACTTTTGCCTCCTCTCTTTTTTCTCCTTTTTCTTTTCTTTTTTATGCTTCTTCTTCGACTTTCTCTCGTCGTTTTCATCGTTAACCTCTTCGTCGGTTTCTTTCTTCTTGTCTTTTTTCGCTGTAAATAAAACGAATAATCGAAGGAACATTAAAGTGGTAATAATCGATAGTTACCTTTCACTTGCTTAATCAGTTCACCGCATTTAATAATCTTCGCATCTTGCAAAGGCCTACTGTTGGCATCTACCGGTAGGAATTCGATTTGTCTAACTGTCTCGATACCACCCACAACTCTCCCGAAAACAACATGTACACTACAAAAAAATAATTATTATTAATTTAATTTTTAATTAAAGTTAAGGCGACTTACTTGTCCAGATGGGGCGCCGGTTGCGTTGTACTATAACACAAAAATTGACAAGATATGATCAGCGTAGCCTGGTACTGTGGGTACGCACGTAGAGCTACATACACGACAAATTAGACTGTTCCGTAACAGCTACATAACTATCTTTTTATTGGAAGTTAGGTTACTGTTACTGGTTTCTTGAAGAAACGGATTTTTGATTTATGTTTACCTTTACAAAACCACTGGGCGTACTTACATGAAAAACTGCGATCCGTTGGTGTCTTTTCCTCTGTTAGCCATCGACAAGAGCAATGGCTGGTCGTGCTTTAATGTAAAATTCTCGTCTGAAAATACAATTCTATAGTTATTTAATAGGCAAATTGTATTGAGGAGTACCTTCGAATGTTCCTCCGTAAACACTTTCACCGCCCGTTCCATTACCGTTCGAAAAGTCCCCTCCTTGTATTATAAAATCTTGTACAACTCGATGAAAAATAACATCCTAAAACCAAAAAATTTTTTTACTCGAATTAAATTAAATCGCAAAAACTCTATTCACCTTATAATGGAGAGGTTTGTTGGTTTCCTCGCCCAAACCCCTTTCGCCCGTGCACAATGACCTGAAATTCTCGCAAGTTTTCGGGGCGATGTCCGTAAATAGTTCAAAGACGATTCTGCCGCTGTTGATGCCGCCGATTGAAACGTCGAAGAAACATCTAGCCCTTTGAACAGGGGCTTCCGAGCCGGTCTCTTCGTCCATTTTCGATATATTTACGCTAAACCACAATCACAATATTACAACTACAACGTAAATCGAATTGATATTCAATGTTGCATATACGAAATATAGCCAAATGTTCAAGACTTATCACAAATTAACGCTTTTACTTTCTATAATGTACACACCACACTCGACAATACATAAAAGGAAGCCATAATTAAATAACTGTCATCCATTGACAACTTGTCACTTGTCACCCTGTCAACAATGTTTTGTAATAAATGTCAATTGTCATTTCGATTTGATCAGAATTTTTGATCATTTTTACATTTTTCCAGAAATTTCTTGATTTAATTAAACTGTTATAATGGATTGGAGTTAATTACCTCATACAACAAAAATATTATCCTCGCAAATGTACCGAAACACTTCTATGACGATTACAATTGAGCTGACTAACTACAATAGTAAAAGATCACTGTTTATTTATTTTGGATGACCGGCAACACCGCAAACTCAGCTAAATATAACCTATTTGTTATTATGACTGCAATTTGCAATAACTTCGATACGTTTGCAACCAGAAATCAATTAAAATGAACGACAATATCATTAGAGAAATGGAAAAAGCCGCCGACATGATAATGGTAAGTGAAAACAATTATTAATTGTAGCGATTTTCTGTAATTTACAACTTCTAGGCCCCCCCAAACATGGTGTCTAATGAACAAAGGCATATCGCAGAGACCATTTTCCTAGACTTTAGGAAGAGCAAGGCTCCGTACGCCTTGTGCAGGGACATATTGGAAAAATCCCAGAATCAATATCTCCTCTTCGAAGCGGCGGAGGTTCTGAAAGGGGCCGTTATCAGGGAATGGTCTTTTCTATTCGAGAACGACAAAACATCCCTGAGACAATATTTATTTCAATACATCACCTCGAAAACGTTACCCCCTTTCGTACGGGATAGGATAGTCCAAGTCATAGCGATAATGGTGAAGAGAGCAAGCATAGACGATGGCGGACGAGAGAGAGGAAATATATTAAAAGAAGTCGAAAATCTAATAGTCAACGCCGAACCCAATAAAGTACATAATATTACTTACACAATATCAGAATTCGGTGTAATCTCTTGTATTTCTTTTAGAAAATATTGGGCTGCAATATACTATCGAATTTGATGCAAGAATACGCCACAACGGTGAAATCTACGGACGTCGGTCTGCCGTGGGAGGTCCATTTCAAAGTCAAGAAACAATTCGAGGGTACCGATCTGAAAAGGATATTCCAATTCTGCGTCTATCTTCTATCAGAAGTCGTCAAAAACGATCCACCTTTCTCCGATTCGTTGATGGAACTCTCCAGGCATCTGCTCAGAATAACGGAGACCGTCTTGACCTGGGGCTACGTATCGCCGATTCATATCCTTTTTATCTCAAATAAATCTACTAAAATTAGTTCTTGTTCCTCATCACTCTACACACCATATTTTTATATATAATCCTTGACTCCTTTGTACTTCCGATAAGATTAGTAGGTATCTACGAATCGGTGCACGCCGCCGACGCCGCGCCCGCCCTGAAGCTGTCCCCTTCCTGGTCGGACACCATGCTAAATTCCGCGCTGTTACCTCTGATGTTCCAAATATACTGGAAGTTTCGCGACGCCGAGCACTTATCTCACCACTCGTTGAACTGCCTGGTCCAATTGGCCTCGTTAACCGGCGGCATATTCGATTCGGACGAGGCCAGAATGAAGTACCTCCAAGACTACCTGATGTCCTTTTTCAACATGGTTTCCAAGTAAGTTTAGTCGATTTATTAATGTTCGATTGTAGTACGATTTGTGTTTCGTAGTATCACTATTAAGAGTACGGAGTGCTTGGGGTTTTCGAATATCGCCAAGAAGCTGTTGACGTTTTTCGTACAGAGCATCATGAAGTTGCCGGACGGCATGAAAGATACGTTACTCGATGAATTCACCAGGATTACCTGTCACTTTTGCGACGGAGCCACCATGGAAGAAATAGTTAGTATTAAATTCGTGTAAAAATATCTATTAAATACTATTACATCGTTTCAGCACAACGAAGAAGACAGGTGCTTCACCGACGCGCTCGAAAACATGCTCGACGCGTGGACTACTATTTTTCAGGAATTGGGCCACAATCACGTGGAGCCGAAGTTTTTGGATTGCGCCCAACAAGTGTTCAACAAGTACATTCAATGCCACTTAGCGCCGCCGGACGGTTGCAGGAAAACCAGCGTGGACCTCGAAGACATCGAGGACAACGAAGACAACGACAGGACCAAGTTCAAGGAGCAGCTTCAAGTCATCGGAATGTTTGGAAGAGTGGTGCCCAGGCATTCATTACCCGTTTTATACAAGTACGCTATTATGTACAATTTTCAGTGGTTATTCCTAACTGTATTATTGTAGGTTATTAGAAGATAGGATAAATAAGTTGGTAAATCACTTGCAAGCGATGCAAACGCGAGCCATGAACGTGCAGGAATCCGAAGCTCTGGATAATTTGTTTGAAGATTTACATTGGATTATACTGGTATCGGGTCACATACTGTGCATGGATAGCGACGGTGAAACGCCTATGATACCATCCGAAATTATGCAGGTAAATCCATTCAAACTACTCGAATAATTCTACTGTACTAATTTTTGTTATTTCAGTATTCAATCGATCAGCACAACAGGCACGAAAGTACATTGAACGCTACAATGAACGCTATATTGGCCACCGAGTCTAAGATAGCCGTGCCTGATGGTTTTGAACAATGCGATCATATCATACGAATAGTGTTCGATGTAATGAAACTTTGCACCATTGAAGACTACGCGGCCTCCGTTAATCTGGCCCAATTCATGAGCCCTGAAGTGGGATCGTCGATAATGTGGTTCCTGAAAAGGTGGTGCCTTTCCTACCTATTGCCTGTAGAGAATTATTACCAAGAAGTAAATAATTTAATCGATATGTATTGCGATTCAAATGTTAACATTCAAACGATATTTTGCAGTTAAGTCCGACGTTATTAGGCTGCTTAGGTAAAGACACCGACGGCTCGAAAGTAGTCGTAAGTTACGTGTTGTCCAAAATCCAGTCCAATTTGTACCACTTCCAATCCGAACCAATATTGCTAAGGGACACGGTGGAACTCTTCTGCGACATAGCCAGCGTCAAGCAAAGGTAAACGCTTCAATTCACCGTCATTTCACACTAGAATTAACGTTCGACATTTAAGGTCTTCATCGCAAATCGTGAAAACCGAGAGCATGCGCAACCTGATCAAGTTATTCGGCGATCTACAGCCGGGCTCGCTGCCGCCCAACATCGTCAGAGGCCTGTGCAAGGGCTTCGTGCTGGCCGGGCTGGCGTTGCACACGAGAAACGGCCACCCGGACGGCCAGGCCGCCATGAACGAGTACTACGAGCTGATCCTGATGCCGCTGCAGCAGCGCTTCAAGCACATCTTGGGACGCGAGGACTTCGCGCGGATCAGTCGCGATGAAAGGACGCAAAAGGTCGTCGTGGATTTGCTGGAATCCTTCATAGGGATAGCCAAAGGTTCGGCCATGCCCAACGTGATTATATTGTTTCATTTTCTAGCGCCTATACTGAGCGAATTGCCGGTTTTTATAACGATTTACGCCGATTACCAAGTGATTGTTCAGTTGATTTTAGAGTTGTTCGGACAATGCGCCAAGTACATGTTGTGCTATTTACCGCCGTTGGACAGTAAACGATTGTACGAAAGCTCCTTGGCTACAGTACAAGCGTACGCGAAGTGTAATCAAGGCAGATTGTCCAACGAGACGTTCGCAGAGGAAAGCAGCTTCCAAGATTTGGCTCTAATATTAGATTTGCTGACGTTCATACTGTCCAAAGACTATTTCGATTTGTGTCTGACGAACAACGAGGACGTGACCGTAACGGCCTCGGACGTTTCGTTGTTCGGCCTCAATTTCATACTGCCTTTAATGACGATGGATTTGCTCAAGTACCCGAGCCTTTGTTCGCAATTCTACAAACTGCTGGTGCTCGTCAACGACATCTACCCGGAGAAAGTGTCGAATCTACCGCCGGATTTGCTCAACACCTTGCTGAGATCGATCGAATTGGGCCTGACGAATTTCGGCTCGGATATCGTACAGGCTTGCCTCGATTTCATACAGGGCATGGCGGCGTTCGTGTTCAATCAGAAGAAGGCCGATACCGCGTACGGGCAGGCCGTGCGGCCCTTCCTGAAAATCGTCATAGACTTGACCCTATCTCGACAGATCAACACGGATTTGACCAGCTCGGCGAGCACGTGCATCTACTCGTTGATGTGCTGCTTTCAGGAGGAGTACAACATGCTGGTGCAGAGTTTGATACAAGCGCAAAGCGATCCGCTGACGGCTGAACGATTGGCGGCGGCTTTTAATAATTTGGTCAGGAACGTTAAGTTGACCTGCGAGCGGTCGCCCAAGTTGAGGTTTCGGGATAATTTCGATAAGTTTATAGCGAACGTGCACGGGTTTTTGCTCGTGAAATAGTAGGTCGTTTTTTATGCGAAATTGGGAACAATAATTTGCGCGTATTTGAACCAGAAACGGCTCGTTTTTTATAGAATTCGAAGCGTTTCTGGTTCGATTTAAGGGTAATATTTGACTGAGTAGTGAGTAATAGCCGTTTCGACAATCCTTCGAACAATAATTGTGCAATTAATTGCGAAATGAACGAACTAAACGGGTTTGTTAAGGACGAATATAGTACGTTTTCTTTTACCTTTAGGATTTATCGAATGTAGTATTTATCTGGCTTAAATTTTAAATGTAAATGAGTAATTAGACATTACTTAGGCGAAAGTACGTTACATTTCCGTCCTTTATATTGCTGGTTTAATTTTGGATTTTAGATTTTATGAATTAACTTATTTCACAATTCGATTTAAATTTTACAAATTCATACAAATTACAGTGTAATTTGCTAAACACGGATTAGCAAATTGTGTGTAAGACTCATATTTGCGGTTTTAATAATGCATTAGAAGTTTAATTATTTATATCTATATTTATCGCTATTTGTACTTCTTCCTGACGAATGCAGACATAAATATTTTCAGATATAATTGCAGATTGTTTTTTGAAAAGTACCCTAAATAACAGAGGAGTAAATAGAAAGTCAAAATACCATTTATTCTCATTAGCTTTTTACAGCATCCTAAAGTTTAGTACAATGTCATACTTTTTAAATTTATTATTAATTAGAAAAATTATCTAGTTAAACGTTGAAGAAAAATGGAAATTAAATGGAAGGCGTGAGATACAAATAAAATAAAAATAAATTTGTACCGGATTTATAATACACATTCATTACGAAATTCCCTGTAGGCATCCGTAATGAACTATAAGGATTTGCCTTTGAGGAAAGTAAAAGATTATGAGTAAAACGATTTTTGAAATATTTACAAAATTTCCAGATGCGTTTAGTCGCAGAAAACGAAGGTTCAATTATCCAGATTTACACAAAAAAATCCTTTCAGAGCAACCTCGATATCCGCCGTATAAAAAAACCAAAAAAAAACCTACTAAAAAGTGAAATGAAAAAGCGTTTATAAAAATCCAAAAACTCGTTTATTTTTTGCCGTGATAATCCGTTCAAGCAGCCGCTTCGACTTCCATCGGCTGGGGCTCCGCCGAACTCTCCGATTTCTTTTTTTTCTTCTTGGCCGCCTTCGGATTGGCCGAACTGTTCAGGATAGATTTCAACTCCGGATCGGTTACGGAATATTCCGAATGGTAATTATCGACATCGAGAGGTAGCCCAGTGATCTTGTGTGGACCGTTCGGCATTAACAGCACCGTAAATTTGAAATGAGCTACTAGTTCGCCTAAAATAAAATATGTTATGAATAGAAGATTTTAATCGAAGATTAAAGTTGGTATATACCTGGTTTTTCATACAAAACTTGGAAAGGTTCTATGAGTTTGTTCTTGACGCATTCCACTACGCCCATTTTAGCTTTAGTTTCGTCTTGGAAATTGCGCAAATTAAACGGCATGTTACCGTACTTGGCTCGAACTTCCGTATAAAACATCCTCGATGCCTTCAATTTCAACTGATAGATTTCATCTACATACAAACAAAAATAACGTAAAAAAACACAACAAAACAATGTTATATGATTCACTATTGAACACACAGAAGCCTCAATACCAGAACCTTGTCTTGGTTAAGGTTCGCCTAAGGCTCTAGTCTAGTCTGGTGATTGGAAGGGACTCCTCTTATACAACTCACCGGTTTTCTTATAGATCGACACTCTGGTATCGGTCTCTTTCCCTACACCTTCACCGGTGCTGATCAAAACGTCCATTGCATACACTTCGTGTTTATCCAGCTCGAATTTCTCGTGTTCCTTCTTCTGAGCATCGTTCGGATTCTGAATTATCGTCTTCTCTCCGTCGATCTTGAACTGCTTCAACTGGTGACTCAACATACCTACAAGAAAACATATAATGTACACATGTACATTCCAATCATTGTATAATTTACCTTCGACGGGCTTGCACTTGAAGGATTCAGCCACCTTTTGCACGGCATCGGTGATTGCATAGGTATCGTTGCCGGGCTTCAGTAGCCTGAGGGCGGCCTGCGAAGCGTAATGAGCCGCTAAAATGGCATCGGCTTTCCTCCCTGTTACCTTGCTATCGCTTTTAGCTCCTACGATTATCGTGTGAGCCACTACGGCTATGAAACCGTCGATGTGAACGCCCAAATCGCTGGCAACCAAAACGATAATCACTAACTGTTTTGTAAGAGTGCAGAGGTACTTACATTTTGGTTAAATCACCGTCTTTGAGAACACAGTCCTGTTCACTGGGAACGGGCGAAAAGTGGCATATGCAATTGTTTACGGAAACGCAAGTGGGAAATGCGATGCCCTTCTTCAGTTCCTTCTCCTTTTTGAAGACCTTGCTGGTCTCGTCGGTGAGCAACTGGTCACCGTATTCGCAGATTTCTCGTACGGAAGCTCCCGCTACGCATTTATCGATAACTTGCTTCAGTGCTCCTAAAACGAACGTGACCGAGTTAGTTTCGGTAAATTTTTAATGGTAAATAAAAGCATTGGAGTTGTTCGTTAAAATTCGAATCGGTGGGAAACCATGTGCTTATCGTTGCCGGGAACCAAGCTCCATATGGCTGCCCGTTGTAAATCGGTTTTGTTTGAAGAAAAACTTTGTGGGCCAAACAAAAGATGCGTAATTATATTAAGGCGACTCACTGTTAACTATTTCTCCTGCCATTTTATACTTGGTAACCACCAAGTCCTCCGCAATGGTTTTTTCGACCACATCTTTTTCGTCCGCCATAATTTACCTACATCTATTTTTTCCACTAAAAACGCCAACTTAAAAAACCCAAATATCACTACGGTCAATTTTTTAATTACTGTCGATTACTATGCGGATAATCAGTCACTTCTGCTGCTCAAGTCAAAATTAAAATTTTACCAAAAAGAAGAAGATAAAGTAAGGTTAAAATAATTTGACAAATGAAAATTGTTCAAATTATAAAATGATCAAGTAAGTACAAAATTATTACAATTTTATTATTTTCATGGCAACCGAACGAATTCACCAAATTCAGCGAAATGTTTTACACTAATTACATATCGAAATATTTGAATTCCACTCACTACTACAACTTTACCTTGTAAGTGTCCATTCAATTACTTACATAATGTTTTCTCCTGTTTAATTCTAGGTTTGCAGTTAAAGCTGGAATCGCTTCGGCGGCCGTTTATTACGTAAAAGAAGAGGGAATTTGGAGGAGCAGCAACGATTCCGAGAAGGTTTACCAAAAGTTAAAGCAAACTGCGAGCCCCTACGTTGATAAAGCCACTGCTCAGCTACCATTCGAGGTAGAATTACCTTTGGAAAACTGTATTTTACCTATTTATCCAACGTTTGGTTGTAATTTCAGCTACCGACGTTACCGGAGAGTAACATAGTTTCTTCTTCGATAAAAGAGACCTGGAACAAAGGTGTTACGGTTACTTTTAAATTTCTCTCCGATCTGCCAGATACCGCATGCAAATGGACCTCTAAGGGTATCGAAGCTATCAAACAAAACGAAGAAATTCAGAAAATGTTTAATGATAAATCGAACGAAAAATTAAAATAGTTAAATTATCTAATAAAAGTATTGTAGGTTTAAATTTTATTCAAAGTTGACTTGAATGTATAGGTAATCGGTTACCTTCGGTATTCATTTGATTGACAACAACGTGAAGTTTGCGTTAAATATGACATCTGTCAAAAGTGTCATGTAAAAAAAATTTTAAATAACAAAATAAACATGGAAGAATTAAATGATAAGTTTCATTATGTGTACAGTTCTTCAGTATCCGACAAAGTTAAAGTTAAAATGTAATATAATTTAATTTAGCGATTCGACAAACGTAACATAATATGTTTTCAGCGGAGTTTTAGAAGGAAAACGACAGAAACCCGAATACACCAAGATACTAGATGATCCCATGCTAAAGTACTCCGGTTTGTACCAAGACGAATGCGCTGATTTAGTTGTAGTTTGCCAAATATTCGACAACAATCAACCTCTTACCCTACCAGTATCCACCTCTTACAAAGCATTTACCCAAAGATGGAAGTAAGCGATAAAATTCATTCCGTTTCGTATCCTTCTAATCACTTTACTAATTCCAGCTGGAACGAATGGTTGAATTTACCGCTCCAGTTCAACGATTTACCGAGAACTGCTCAGCTAGCAATAACCATTTACGATTGCTTCGGGCCTAATAGACTGGGCCCCGTCGGTGGTACCACCGTATCGTTGTTTAGCAAACATGGGTTATTCAGACAGGTATTTCTCATCATTAAGTGCTAGTGCTTGTATTAATGGGTTATTTCGAACAGGGCATGCTGGATTTACGAGTGTGGCCTAACAGAGAAGCCGATGGCAATTTCCCGACAACGACTCCCGGAAAAACCAGGAACGGTAAAGAACAAATGCAAAGATTGTCGAAGTTGGCTAAGAAGCACAGAAATGGGTACATCACGAAGGTATTTGGTGCATTAGAATGATCATCAAAGGTTTAATTTATGTGTGATTTAATCAGGTTGACTGGCTGGATCGATTGACTTTCAGGGAATTGGAAATGATCAACGAGAAAGAGAAGCGAAATTCGGATTATTTGTATCTGATGATCGATTTTCCTTCTATTATAGTCGATAACATACCCCATCACGTCGTCTATTTCGAGCAAAACGGTGAAGAAATCGTTTCAGTTCGATCCCAAGCCGAACTGGTTACTGTACCGGATCAGGAAATTCTCAAAGTAAGTTCCGTTGATTAGAATCTATTTGTTTACTAATAAATCGAGTTAATTATAGGTTTTATAACGCACCATAATTGTTTAAACTATAAAAAAAAATTAAATTAAGGAAAAATAGGCGATATATTATCGCTATCTTATCTCCGATGAATTCACTAAAATCGTATTTTTTTTTCCTTATCTATCGTAGACAAATTCTTATTTGCTGTAGTACTAACGCGACCGTGTAGGTACGTGTACGTGTAATGCAAATTTTAAGATAAGAAAACCGACCGTTTCGCCTGCGTGTTTTTTTTTTCACATTTCGCTCAAACAATCCCTCATAATGACACCGCTTGGAGATGACCTTTTGGGGACAAATCATCAGTAAAACGGGGACGTCGAGCGGGCCCCGTAATCCGCCCGTTTGCAGGCTCTGCGAGGGCGCCATCAACAACACCAGCGGCATCAAGTGCGCCAAATGCGCCCTATATTTGCACGCGAAGTGCTTCGAAAGGGCCGCGCGGATTTTCCGCGTCGAAACCGATCGTTGGGTGTGCGGGGATTGCTCGACGAAGGGCGCCGATTCGATCGAAATGGACGATTTGCGATTGGAAAATCGCTGTTTGAACGAACAAGTGCGGATCTTGTCAAAGCTGCTCAGCGAACAGGATTTCATCAATTTCACGCAAAGGCAGAAACTGGCCGATTTTCAGAATTGTAACGTCGTGAGTATCGCTGTAATCGAACAATAAGAGACCACGTTATTATCCAGCTTTATTATTGTATGAAACCTTTCTGACCGATTATTCAATTACCGACGACTCGACGTTGTCGATTCGATCCTTTATAAAATTGGAAATAACCGAGCTACAAACGTGAAATTTTAACCGACACTAGCCCAATATATCTACTTGATATCCCCGAAATAGCATCATTCCCATTCAACTAGAAAGTTTCGAAAAAACAGCCTTTACAGAACACCCTACGAAAGCGACATTTTCTTTGGTATTCTCAGAAATAACCGTAAATCCGGCAACGCCGCGTACACGCGCACTATTTTTCCTCATTTTCCTTTTAAGCCGATTACATTCACTCAATCCATTCAAAAATGTGCTTTTACTATATGTGCAAGTATTTATTTTGCGTCGAAAAAGGTACGCCCAACAACCCCATTCTATATTCTATCTAACGCATTATTACAGGAAAACCTCGTCGAAAGCAAACACCACAAGCTAGCCAGATCTCTGAGGAGCGGTCATTGCGATAAGGATGCCAAACCGAACGCCGTCATGCGGGACATCCTCAACACCATCGTCTCCTATCCGCCCACGAAGAACCTCTCCAACGAGGAGCAGGACCACGTGTGGAAGTACCGCTTCTATTTGAGCACCCAGAAGAAGGTGAAGTTAGCTCGTTAATCGGTTCCACATAATGGATATACATCCATGGTTTTCCAGGCGCTGGCTAAGTTCCTGAAGTGCGTCAACTGGAACCAACACAACGAGGTCAGGCAGGCGTTGCACATGATGGAGATTTGGTCGCCCATGGACGTGGAGGACGCGCTGGAGTTGCTCAGCTCGAATTTCACCTATCCGGCGGTGAGACGGTACGCCATATCGAGGCTGCAACAGGCCCCCGACGACGAGATACTCTTGTATCTGCTCCAACTGGTCCAGGCGTTGAAGTACGAAAATTTCAAGACGATACAAGAAGGTATGGAGTATGGAACATAATATGTAGTTCCTTCTTTTTATGCTGTGTATTGTTTTCGTTAGGTTTTGCGAGGATGTCGCCCGGTAGAGACCCGTACTTCCCCTACGAGGAAAAGGAAGCGCAACTGGAGAAAAAAGACAGCAAAGAGAGCAACAGTACGATAACAAACGAACAATCGATACATCGGTAATACTACTACAATCTCGATAATACTTTATACATATTTTGGCGTTATTTCAGATCATCGAGCTACAATCAAACCGAGCAGATAGCCTCGTCGAATTTCAACAGCAGCCTCACTCAAGAGAACCAAGAACAGAAGGCGGAGGTGCTCCTGCAGAATCCCATCACCGACAGCGGTAATACCGACACGTTGCGCAGCCACATGTACGAAGAGGAGGACGTCCAGGACCTGGCCTCGTTCCTCATCTACAGGGCGTGCAAGAACTTCAGCCTGGCCAATTACTTCTACTGGTACTTGCTGTTGGAGTGCGAGGACCAGGACACGACGTTGCGGCAGGACGTTAGCGACGTGAGTGGCGCGAAACGCCGGTAGTTTGTCGACTGAATTTTTAACGGTTACAGGAAATCCGCAACATGTACCTGACCGTGATGAAAACGTTCTCGCAAACGCTGGCCCGGGGATCGGAGTCGATGCAAAAGAAGCGGCACGTGTTGACCAAGCAGCAGAAGTTCATCGATAAGCTGGTGAAGCTGATGAAGACGGTGTCGCGCGAGAGCGGCAATCGCAAGAAGAAGGCCGACAAGCTGCAACAGCTGCTCGCCGATTCCGATAGTTTCAAGTTCAATTTCTCCAAGTTCGAGCCCATTCCTTTCCCGTTGGATCCGGCTGTTACGATCAACGGTATCGTACCGGAGAAGGCCAGTTTGTTCAAATCGGCGCTGATGCCTTCCAAGCTCTATTTCAAAACGGTGCGTACGATTTAGTTTGTTTGAATGAATTCAATAAGAATCGGTTTTATTAGGTGGATAACGATGAGTATGTGGCTATATTCAAACTAGGCGATGACTTGAGGCAGGATCAACTGATCTTGCAGATGATTACGTTGATGGATAAGCTGCTGAGCAAGGAGAATTTGGATTTGAAACTAACACCCTACAGGGTGCTAGCTACTAGTACGAAGCACGGTTTCGTGCAATTTATAGATTCTGTGACTGTAGCTGAAGCATTGGCTACTGAAGGTACGAATCGGAATAACTCTTCCAGGTTTTGTTTAGTAATGACATCCTTTTGCAGGAAGCATTCACAACTACTTCAGGAAGTACCATCCGCAGGAGCACAGCCCCTACGGCATAGCGCCGGATATAATGGACATTTACGTGAGATCCTGCGCTGGTTATTGCGTGATAACGTACCTGTTGGGCGTGGGCGATAGACATTTGGACAATTTGCTGTTAACGCAAGATGGGAAATTGTTTCACATCGATTTCGGTTATATTCTAGGAAGGGATCCCAAGCCGTTGCCTCCGCCTATGAAGCTGAGTAAAGAAATGGTCGAGGCCATGGGGGGGATTAATTCGGAGCATTTCTCGCAGTTCAAAACGCTTTGTTATACCGCCTTTCTTCATTTGAGAAGGTATTAACTGCGCCTTATATCGTACTGTACAGTTAATTAAATTCTGATTTTTTAGGCATGCTAATTTAATGTTGAATTTGTTCTCACTGATGGTGGACGCCAGCGTTCCGGACATTGCTCTCGAGCCGGATAAAGCGGTACGTAAAGTACAGGACAAGCTGAGGTTGGATCTGAGCGAAGAGGAGGCCGTGCATTATATTCAGAATTTGATAGAAACGTCCGTCAGCGCGATCATGCCCGCCTTCGTAGAGCAACTACACAAAATTACTCAGTACATTAGGAAGTAGTTTGTTTCCACATTATTGTATATAATTTATTGTTTTTTTTATGTAATATAATTTAACAGAGGAATAATGATACACGAATTGTTTTAAATTTAATTTTTTTTAATGGAAATTCTTATAATAATTATAAACGTACAAATTAAGCGACCAAAGCCGAAGCCGTGCTCGATTCGTATTTCCAGTTAGGGGCTAGGACTGATTTGGTCTTGTAGTACCTGGCGAGCCGGTGGATACGAGACTCTACCAAAATCAAACGGAACTTGCTGTCCTTGTCCTTTCTGTTCCTCTCCAAGTGCTTGCGGATGGCCACGGCTTTCTTAATGAGGTAGTACAAGTCCTCGGGTAGGTCGGGCGCCAGTCCCATGGCCTTCATGATGCGCAGGATCTTGTTGCCGGACACGAACCTGACTTGGGCTACACCGTAGGAGTCCCTCAGGATGACACCGATTTGGGACGGCGTGAGACCCTTCTTGCCCAATTTGAAGATGTGCTCTTTCACTTCTTCGGGGGTTACCTTGAGCCACGTAGGGACGCTTCTTCTGTAGGGCAACGCCGATTGGGCGATACCTTTACCGGGCGCGTGCATCCGACCCATTTTTTCTGGTTTTATTCCTCGATTTCGCTAAAACAAGTCGTGCACTCGACGTTTCCACAAAATGGATTCGTTCTAAAAGAAGTTGACAAGTGACAGGCATACATGTGGTCTTCATTTTTGAATTTTATGGCCTATATACAGTGTGACATACAGTCATAGAGTTGACAGATTAGAATTTTGTATAAAATTTTTATTAAAAATAAGAAGAAGAGCATATTTTGACTTTGACATCAATGTCAAGTTAATCTGTCAATTACAACAGTTTTTTTATTAAATTTTGTCCAATATAAATAAATATACCAATTTAAGTATTTAAATTAGTGTTCCTCATCGTATAAACTAAATTTCGCTTTAGAATATCACAGCTTTTATTTAAGTTGCGTTCCGATTTCGAAAACAATCCTGTGGAAATTGTAAATGTAAACAAACATACATTGAGTCATTAATTAGTGGACAGGGTGTGACCATAATGTAATGGTCAACACAAATTCGAAAATTACGAATCGAGTGACAGAAGTTTTAACGATCAAGCAAACATGAAATACTCAACTTTACTGTTCTACATCGTTTTCAGTGTTGCAATTGAATTGTGTAAGTATTCCACTGTTTATTAACAATTTTATGAAAATACGTACACACACAAAACCTCATTATTTTGAGTCATTTAAATCGGTTAAACAGTTGTATTTTGTCCACCAGCCCTTTCTATAAATTGCTATCAATGTTCGGGCAGCGATCCGACGCAGCCGTTTCAATGCAACGAGTGGTTGAGCAGCGATATCGATATAAAGCCCGAATCCTGCGACCATGTTTACGGCGCTAAATATTGCGTTAAACACGTTGGTCGATTCGAAGGTACTTGTACGGGGGAATTTAACTAACCTTCATACTAAAGACTAACTAAAATATGGCCCCGGTTTCTTTGCTAAACTTACTAATGTTTTCCACTAAAATTAACGGTGTTTGTTTCTTTCTTACTGAAGCTATCGGTATAAAATGCTACCAGTGCTCGTCGGCTAAGACCATGGACTGTTCCGACGGTCTGATCCAAATGGGTGGCTTGCAGCCCCAAAGTTGCGAGCATGTTTTCGAAGCTCGGTACTGCATTAAATCTACGGGTTTGGATGGTACGATCTCGAATAAGCCCATACTGGCACAGAGCACTTGAGTTTATTATATTCAGAATTTGTATGTGCTAATAGCACAGAAAATTCGTTGGTTACTCTAAACACTTTTCGTTTGCTTATTAATTCTTCGCACGAATTTATTTGTATTTGTTTTTAAGTTGCAGTATATAGAAAATTGTAATTAGAATTTGCAGGGTAAGGTCGGTGTTAAAATGTAAAAATCTTACATCAGTAATAATAACTAATATTTTATAGAAATAGTTTACTAACAACACAAATTCCTGTTTAATATTAAACATTTTATAAATAATTTTATTGTCATTTTAGGAGGTATCGGTGCGAAGAGGTTCTGCTCTTCACTGGACTTGGGAAATTATTGTCACTATGTGAAGCAGCCCGGAGATCAATTATTTTACAGGACGTGTTTGCACACTTGCACAGGAGACGGGTGTAATTCGGCGTATCACTCGAAGCCTTTCTCCCTAGTTTTATTGGCACTTATTGGCGGTGTTATTGCGATGAATTTGACGTAATTTTTCGTAAGTACTTCGTAAGTACATTTAATGTGGGTCCAACAGTAAGTTTGTAAATAAGAGCGATGGTTTTACAATTTTTTACGAATTTTATACGATAATTAAATATATTTTGTAATCAGTATTTGGTAAAATTATAAAAAAAATCTTGTCTATTTGCGGGCTTTATTTTCATCGAAAAATCAATTTGTTATGGTATAAATTTTACAATGTAAAAATACGATATAAATCTTCACAAGTACTCGTACAACAAAATGTTACTAATAATTGTGACATAAATATGTATAAAAAATTAAAAAGTAATATTTATCGATACTATTACAATTTCATAAAAGAACTTTAAAACTAAGTAATAATACTGCTTTGTGCTACATAATTATCGGAATTCATCGGAATTTTTTGTTTCAATTATTTTTTTTTTCGATTTTAAACGTGCTCATTAGAAAACTTCGATAGATGCTCTTTTATTAACAAGCATATTCACTGAATTTCACTGAAAGCTAAAAGGACTTTCTCTAAGCAAAAAGCTTTAAAAAGTTGCAATTGGAAAAATCTTTCGCTAAATCTAGCGATTATTAGAGGCAACAGCAACGGTGAAAAATTTGCGAAACATCGCTAATTTACGTTAAGAATTTGAACAAAAACATAAACAGTATACTGTAACCTTTCCAAGGATAATTTCGCTCATTTCAGTTAACACAATCACATAAACTTAAAATTACAACGGACATGATACTCGCGGTAACTTGGCAATTAAAATAACTATATAAAAACACATGTATAAAATTACACAACAAAAAAACGGCATAAATCCTAGATAAAAATAGGACAATAAAAAAAATAAAATTACTTCTTAATCAGTAATCTCCTAATTTGTTCTTCGAGCTCCTTCACCCTTTGCTCGCTGTTTATCAGTTGCTTCTTCAGCCTCCTCACTTCGTCGCTTTGCAGCTGATACGCCCTTCTCAGCTACAAAATTAACCGGAAATTATCATTTAATCGTTCAATCAAACGTCCGACTTACATCATTCTCGTTCAGGGCGATATCGTTGTCCTTAATCGCCCGCGCTTCCTGCCGGTTATTCAGCTCGATTTGGCTGAATTTCTGCTGCAACTTCTGAAACGTCTCGTTGTTCGACGTCTTCCGGCTCTTCTCTGTAACGGCGTGATCCTTCGGCCTGTAGTCGGGCACCGTTTCGCGCGCCAGAAACGCGAATTTCCTGCGATTGTTGTCGATTTTCAGCGGCTCGACCGCGCTCAATTGCGACCGTTGTTTCTGCTTTATCGACGTTATGTCCAAGTCGTTCAGTTCGCCTGCAGAGTTTTATTAAACTTTAATCGATACGTTCGTTACGAATTTAGCTGTGGATATTTCATTAATTACGCAATTTTTCTTACCGGTTTTCATGGATATGAGCAAAGGCATGGCGTTCTTTCCGGCTGTCCATTCCGAAGCGGTGAGAGCTGGTTTAGAGCCCGCCGTGTTCGGGTACAAATCCTCGTGGAATTGATCGCTCTTCCGCGGCACGATCATCGCTATGGGCTCGCACATTCCTTTCGTAGCGTGCAGCTTGTAGAAACGGAACACCTCGCACTGGGTGGTACTCAGACCGCGCTTCGGCATCACCCCCAAACCGCGCTGCACAAAAAAATTTGCAAATTACTACACGAAAAGCATACTTTAAACCGCCTAAGCGAATAGTAAGAGGCCTGCATCCGTACCTGCGGGTTACCGGACAAGAACTGGTTGAGGAAATGCACGTAGGGACTCTCGTCGGTGATTTCGTAGTAGCGTATGTTGCCGTCGCCTTTACCGGCCAAAAAGGCCACGTTGGTGTCGGGATCGAAGAACGGGAACACCACGCCGGAGGAGCTGTCGATGCTGTCCGTGTAGAGGGATCGGGACAGGTCCGATTCGTCCCAGATGGAGTACTGTCGGTCGGAGTGACGCGAGAAGCCGGTGGTCAATAGGCGACCGGTCGCGCCCAAGTAGACTACTTTGCTGGCTTTCGCCCCCGCGTGGCATGTTCCTTCCTTTAGAGAGAAAAAAAAAGCGTTAATACAGTTATAACGGGGTGGTTTGTTGTTGTGGATTTACCGATCGAACTCTGCCGGTTCTCGGTTCGATGATCCTCAGCTTCTTGTCCTTGCAAGTGGTCGCCAATAAACTGCCGTCCCTGTTCAATGACATGGAATGTATGACGTCCCGATGGCAATCTATCACGTTGACGGCTTCTCCTCGTTCCACGTCCCAAACTATCACCTAAGAAATTAATAAAATGTATAAGTAGAGAAATATTGGGTTTTATGCAATTATGCATGATTATGAATCAGAAGGATATTTTAAAAATGAACTATGTAATTGTAAGCACAGGTTGCTTTGATGATGTCGAAAATTTATAATTAATTCTGTCATAAGCTTCAGCCATAAATGTATGACGATTATTTCATATGGTTATTTGTTTAAAAAATGAAACGTTCAAAAGAACGGACACGTTCACTTTAAGATACTGTATATTTTATTTATGAAAACGAATTTTAATTTAAACGGAATAGACCTATTCAGTTTAACCTGTGCTGCGCGCGCATATTGTGGACAATTAGCTGGACATCTAAACGAACAAACGAACGCACCTCAGGTAAAATACGGTTCTGACAACCAGACAACGACAACTTATCATTATCCAACAATCCGTCGGATTTAATGGACGCGGTGACTCGATACAAATTTGTTTTTACTGCCCAGAAAGGGGTTATAGGCTTAATATTTACGTACAAGTCAAGTCTAAGAAAGAGTAAGAGGGTTAGTACAAAGTTTCCGAAAATGCTTTTTGATCGGTTTGCTATAATATATATTTCAAAAAAATAATCCCATTGACCTATACAAAAAATTATTACCTTTATAAATAAATATACTAAATAATACAAAGAAATACTGTTAAAAATAATACACACTGAACATAAACAAACATCAAACGGAAACAAAATAGGGTTAAGAATGTTAAGATTGATAATGGTCTCTTCTTTTTTATATTTTAAACAGTTTTCATCTAAGAATCATTCAATGTGTCTGTCAATCAGCAAAGAAATAGGCCAAATATCTCATCTCTCTTGCACTTATGTTTGCGCAGATTTTAAATGGTTCCACAAATTGCGCGTGAAACATATTTGTTTCTTTTATTCTCTTATGTTGATCAAATAACTCCATCACTCTCTTTCGTAAACTGAATAGGTCTATTGCGAAAATTCCAAAATCACCTGTCAAAGTTGTCAGCGATAGTTTATGTCTAATCATTTTTGGTTTTATGTCAATCTGTCAATTTTTTTAAAAATAAGTTCCACTTAGAAAAGGATGCCTAGATTAATTAGAAAATTCAAATGAAATGGAATATTAAAAGAATTGAAAGTGATCATTTTGTGCGATTTCCATCACGTAACAGCGATTACTGTAAAATAACGTAAACCGAGAAAGAGCATTACCAATTGCGTACGAATTCCGTATCAAGTTCGACTTTCTATTTATTTATTTATTGATTTTTTTTTTCAACTTTTCACCGTTGGGAAAAAATGCGTGTAAACACTCACCAAGTGATCGAAACCGGCGCTAAATAGAATATTCTCGGCCGTCGGATGCCATTCGATGTATCCGACGCGTCTTTTGTGCCCCTGCAATTCCACTAGCCAATCAGTAAGGTGCATGGATAAACCGCCGTCGGGAATGTGCCATAATTTTATCTAAAACGCAAACAAAAATTACCAAAACATCGCCGATAAATCTAAGTAATGAACCAATTCATTTGCTCGTAAAGAAAACTTGATTTCGTAAGTGCCAAATGGCAGAACCCCTGCAGCGAGGCTACATTCTGGCTCTAGAGCCGTTCCCGAGTACATAAAAATCACGCTCATCGCAATGAATAAAATGTAAGGCGATCGATCTGAGGTTGAAACAAACTCGAAAGGGTTTTCGAAGGGATCCTCTAGAAATATTGATTAAATTACCGTGCAATCGTCCGAACAGGAAGCGATCACGTTGTCATTGAAAGGGTTCCATTTTATATCTAAAACCGGACCGGTGTGGCCTGTTACTTTGCTGGCGTTGAAGTCCAATCTACCCGTCTAAAAAAAAAAAACAATCGAAATTATACAGAGAGTTCCATAAAAATCATACGGTTAATAGAAAAAAAACTAATCTTACGCAATTTATGGGCACGACGGTGAAGGCGCCGCCGCCGGCCACCTCCGTCACGACGGCCAGAAATTTGGGATTGACGGCGCAAAATTGGGAATCGTGAGCGTTCCTGGTTATCTGGATGTTATCGTAGCATTTCTCCCGTTTCGCCGGTTCCCCGTACACGTGACGGAACTTCGAGCTTCTCACCCCTTTGAACCACAACTGAAATTTTATACGAAAATTATTAATTTCCAATGCTGCGCTTTTACGATGTATTCCCTAAATCTACGAAAATCGCACTAAACTTGGCAACGCCGCATTTACAATAATATTAAATCTAATACATAATCGTAAATATTTTCATAAGGCAGTTTACCACAAACAAACCTGACATCATCCCGCAAGGTTAAAGACGCAATTAATCGAAATAGAACCCAAAAAAGAGAAACCATTTCCCGAACGAAATAAAAGGCGGAAAAATACCTTTGACATGATGCAGCGGAAAAAATCCCGCACTTCACTTTCGTCGAATTTTTCACGAAGGAAAAAAAACTTTTAAAAATCCAATTAGACACCAGCGAATAAATCGAAATACCGTGACCGGGCGATTTCTATTGTATACTTCCAAATCGCATTTGCATACACACAAGTACACAAACAGGTTTGTACTGTGGTGCATAATTGCCAGCACAAACGTTTGTTTTATTAAAAACATTTATTAGATTCCTCTATTATCTTATCTCTTATTGCATTACGTACTAACTTTATCGTTATCCTTTCGAAGCAACCGAATAGCAAGAGAACGCATTTTTAACGTTACTATCTATAATAAATCGTTATCAACTCTCCCCTAAAGCTCCCCAATTTCTATAAATAGATGTAGATAAAAAATTACAGAAATTTTTCGTTACACCCTGTATATCGTAGGCGCAAGTTCGGTCGAGTGAATAAGACGATAGAATCTCTTAAAATGCGGGAAAAGCGGCCGTTAATTGAGCGATATAAGTAATGGGTGAGTCAGTGCGCTAATTAGATACGAGGGTAATTCGAAAAATTAAAATAGAGGAGTCATTTCCTGACCAAGACGATTTTATCAGCGCGAAATTATCGGAAGTATCATTTAGAAAATTATTAAAAATATCAAAAATAAAAAATTGTGAGTAACAAACTGATTACTTGCAGGAAATTTAACCCCCTCGTATACTTTTATCGCTTAACATAATGTACTGCTCTATTTTGTTGAACTTTCAAAGAGGTCAATATACTGTCGTAAATGCGTTTTATATGAAAAGGGCTAAATATGATAAATACAGAGTGACCCAAAAAAAACCAAAACAATTTGGAAAAATAAATTTAATAGTTTAAGCATACAGAATATACCGGTTGATCAGAATAATATAATTTTCATCGATAATTCAAGATAAATTACTCCATTGGACCAATTTGAATATACGACAATTGATGATAACAGTTAATAAGTTATTGCGCAAGGGTGCCTTTAATATACATAAGTAGAAGGCCACCGAATAAATTTGCGATTATTCCTCAAATTAGGACACCCTCGTAAAAATTATGTAAACTACATTACCCATTGAAACACCATATAATTATCTAATTCGCCAACTAAATCTAATTAAACCCGAGCAAATGGCTTTCTTCTAATTACGGCGCTCTGTAGAAAGTCCATAAATCACTCAACAAACCGTTAAAAAAAATTAAAACAATCACCTTTTACTAATCTTATCTGCCTGTTTTTACGAATTCTAATTTATTTTTAATTCATCGCCTGCTTACCTGCGAATTATCGCACATATTTTCCGAATTTGCCGGTATGCCCATTCGTCCTGCCGATTATCCTGCACTGTTTACTTCACGAAACAAAACTGAAAACGAACGAAATAAAAAAAAAATAAAAAAATAATAATAAAACGGCAAATAAAATAAATGTGTTATTAACACAGAAAAAAATACGATAATGATGCTAAATAAGAGCGAAATTGACTGATAAAAGCGCCGAGCTAGACTGGCCGAGATAAAAGAAATGGAAATCGCTTTAGAGATCGAATTCCCCTCTATATAGTATTAATAAAAACTATAAATAGACATTTCGGGGGGTACTGGTGGAGCATCCAGTATGAAAGTTCAATAAACAAACATTAAATAAATACAGGATATTAATGGATAAGATTCAATTATTGATACATTAGTTCGATGGGGTTGAGGGGGATTTTAGAATATTATTTTTAAATAAATTATAATTAAAAAATACCTAGTAATTCTCCCTAGTTACTATAATACAAATAAAAATAATGCACCAACATAATAAAATAAATGGTAATAACATTTCTAAGAACTAAATAAATGAAAAATTATAAAGAAATTTTTTGATAATCGGCTTACTCATTATTTTTGCAATATCACCAATTCTTACTAATACAAAAATATGTGTTATATTTTTAAAAACTAGCATTGTTTATTACCTGTAAGTACCACTTATAAATAAACAAAAAATCAATTTCTAACTCATGTTTCACTAGCTATCAATACTTGTACATATTGGAACCGAAAAAACTTTTTCCACCTACTACATATTTTCTCGATTAACGATTAAATACTGAGAAATGCTTGTGGATACTAAATATAACGATTCTCACAATATCGTAATCGAAATTATACCATTTTGAATTTAAATTTCACGCCGTATGATTAGGGATTTCTTCGTTTCGTAACAACCGTACCATTATAGGTATTCTTCCGTGAATTATAAATTAACAAATAAAACTAGAATAATGTCCATGCAAAATGAGCGAATATAATAAAGAATTTGCTGTCAATTTACTTTCTCCTCCATAACTATTATTTTTATTCGGAAACAGTACTTTTAAAATAAGTACCGAACACTTTTATATTTGAACTATTTAAAGCAATTTATGAATTGTTATGCACGTTTATTAATAATATAAAAGTACTGGTATAATTTAAATGATCTTATTTCAACTGAGATAACATTAAAAGAGACTTTTGTGAACCTTACAAAAAGTTTATGGTTCGTTAATTTTTTAATAAGTTATAACAATTCGTAGTATGCAATTAGATTATTAATATATCGAAGAAGTAATCGTATAAATAATAAAGAAATGAATGCAAAATTCACTTACCTTTGTGGTGGGTTTCGAACAAGACCTGTTGTCGATGGCATTATTTACAAACGAGTCGGAAATTAACGGAGACGAAGTTCTCGATTCCAATTCACTGAACATAATAAAGCGAATAATCTAGATTATACAAAATAGCTGCTTTCTCGTTCGCAAAAATAACTATAATACGGAATAAATTTAAACAAACCGACCAGAATAAATAAACAATTCAATCTGTCACCTGTCACTGTCATCGTCTGTCACCTTCTACCTTCTGCCAACATAAATTTCCGAACAACAAAAATTACCATATACTCGGATCACATTGTTTGTTACGATGAGTGAGATAAAGACGTGTGTATATTTTTAATCGGTCCGTTTCCGCCATTTTGAAACTTCAAAAATTTAACGTTTGTACATAGAATAAGTAAACAAAGCCGTTAAGTATGGATTTATATCGCTGATAAAACGCCTTTTTTACTCTAAAATGTAATCCATCATCTCAAGAACTCACAAACTCCATATCAGTACTGTGTGTATGAAATGAATTAAAAAAGAAACCGGTACAATGTGTTCGAACAACGATGAAACCGATCTAACCATCGTCGAAAGATTCAAAAGGGATTACACCGAGCAATTTTATATCCTCGTACGAATGCATTTGTCCTTCCTGTTAGACGTAAACACCGACGAGTGAGTAGCCGAATAATCGTTAGAATCCTTTAATTTCATTCGAAACGTTTCAGTAACGACAGCTTACCTGAAAAGAGAATAAAAAAATGGAATTTAATACCGTTCGCGAAAAAGTCGAGGCTACGAAGCACCCTAGAAGGTTCTCAATTGACCCAAGACACTATCAATCAAATATTCCAATTGATAGGGTTCTTAAAGGACGAAGAAAGTACGAATTAATCGATTGATAAGGCTATGTTGTATGGTTAATTGCTTTGTTTTTAAGATATAAAAAGCGAAGGGATATTTCGAAGGACCGGTTCCATAGAAAGGCAACAAGAACTTCGGAGTTTCTTGAATCAAGGTTCTACGTTATGCTTAGATAATGGGAATTACAGCGTACACGATTGCGCGTCCGTGTTAAAAGGTTTTATACAAGACTTAGCCGATCCTTTATTAACAGAAGTACATTTCCCCGTCTATTGTCAAATAGCAGGTATAAATAAACGTTATATTAGTGGGATAGCACTCGATAATGTAAACATTTCAGAACTGTATGATCTCAACCAGCCTTCGACCGAACCGGCTTTAAGAGAATCCAAATTATTAGAAGCCCTTCAATTGCTCATGCTGCTCCTACCTTCGGAGAACAAATTATTGTTCAAAGAGCTGATGGAATTGCTGCACCGCACCGCCTCGTACGAGCCCCAAAACCGAATGTCCCCAGAGAATTTAGCCAAACTCTTCACGCCCCATTTGCTATGCCCCCGAAGCCTCACCCCTACGTTGCTGCTGAAAGTATCCAAGCCTTTGTTCAGCATCGTCGGTTTCATGATAAACAATCACTCGAAACTGTTCGAAATCCCCGCCAAGTTAATCGTGGAATTCCACGCGAAGTACGAGCGAAAGAGGTGCTTCAACGAGTCCTCGGCCGACGTAGCCAGTACAGTATTCACGTTCGTCGATAGAGAACGCACGGCCAAAGAGAACGAGGCCAACCCGACCGAGACCGCCCTGGCCGAATTGTACGCGCACATTCAAAGCCTGCCGGAGTCTTCTAAAAAGCGGAAACTGGTCAAGCAGTTCAATAAAGAGAACGGGCACGGCACGCCGCAGGCTCTGAAGAACAGCAAGAACCGGAGCATCGGGGATTCGATCAAAAAGCGCATATTTCAGAGGCATTTGGCCGGTAAAAAGAGGTATATCATGAAAGGATCGGCTTCGTGCGATAGCGCTTGCGAAGTAAGTGACTTTACGATCGTTTACGGTAGAGTATTGGAATGTTTTATGTAATATAATCGCACGGTTTGTTCGGTAGAATAAATGTTTTTACAGTAGCATTTTTGTGTTTTAAAATACAGGGTGGTAATGAGTAAGAATTGCACTAATTACAGATATACTTATTAGCACCCTGCGTTATAAAAGTAATTGCATCCTATAGCACGTAGTTATTAGCATTTTGCACTCGGAGATGTTCCGATACTCATCGAATGCTCCTCGCATAGTCCCTAATCGAACTGCACGGAACATTTCAGAGCCCCGTAGGCTCGCCTCTGAGAGCCCGGCTCTTCTGCCTGCACGACGGCGACTCGCCGGAATCGATAAAAAGGCGAAAAACGAGCAGGAGCTGCGAGGCCTTGGTGCTCGAACGCCCCGAAGAAGACGGCGAAGGTAAGGAGAGCTTCTCGGAACCGGAATGTCTACCTAACCGCAACGTGTACCTAACCAGCACGCCGGCATGTTTCCCGTCGAAAGCTTGCGACGATGTTTTCACGCCCGTTTCGAAAGACAGGGCTTCCATGTCGCCCATTACGATGTCCGCCCAACGGATGTCCAGGGCCATGCAGGTTCGATTAAACTCTACCAATCCCTGTAAAATAACACTAGCTTACTAACGACTATAACAAATTCCGCAGGAAACCATGATGACTCCCAGAAGCAGGAAACCCGTGCTACTTCTATCCGGTACGAATATAAACGCGCTGCCAGCGGAACCGGCTCAAATGGAACCGAATAGAGCTCGGGTAGAGGTCGATAAGAGCGATAACGAGTCGGAGGCGGGTTTGAGCAATACGTTCAAAGAGTATTTGAGCAGCAGGAGAATGGTGGCTTTGAGAGATTCGAGTTTTTCGAGCAGAACGGACGATTTCGATTCGACGGATTTGGGAGACGGGGAGCTCTCGGATTCTTTAATGTACTGCTTGGACGGGAACGATCCGGACGGGCTCGGCGTGATCGAAGAGGAACGACGAGGGGACGAGAAGGAATTGGTGCTGAAACCGAAGCAATTTGACGAGAATGGGAAACCTGTTATTTTCGAAACGTCTTTTTGATAGTGCTTGTTTTTTATATGTAAAGGGTCTCTACAGGGTGAGGTATTGGCGTAGCAATGCTTTGTACTGGGTGTTCCTTAACGTACGTTCAAACCTTTTGAGATACAGGGTGGTTAAATTGTATATTTCACCACCCTGTAACTCAACAATTAAGGCATACTTTGATTTCCTTTATCATTAAGGAACACCTTATACTTGCCCATTATTATAGAGCTAAAGTCTCACCCTGTATATTATTTACCTAATAGTAATATACACATATTATTACAACTTATGTGTTCATTACTTATTGTAAGTGCCACAATATAAAAACTCGCAGTAAAAATCAATAAAAAAGAGGATATTTTTAACTGCAAAAAGTAATTCTAAAATAATAAATACAAAACTTATAACTAAAACAAATCATCGTGAGTCAAGTCTTGCAACAGCTTCAATCCCCTTTCTTTCAAAGCTTTCGACAATAATTTCTGCTTCTCCTGTTTGAGTTCCTGTTCCTTCCTTTGAGCATCTAGAATATCGTCTACGGACACTTCGGTTAGCGGGAGCTCACTCTCTTTATCTGCATCCTAAAGAAAAATACAGGATGTTCCTCGTTTGAAAATTTGTTCATATTCACACTTACGATTTCACCCAATAGGACTACGTTTTCTCCTCTAACTATGAAGACTCCTCTCGGTATGTCGCCGTATTCTGTTCCTACGTGGATCCTTTCGATAGTTTGATGTAGCACTAAATTCGCGAATTGATCTACGCTCCTCAAGTAGCCTATCAGTGTTCTTCCATCTCTAAGCAAAACCATAAGTTTCTCTAGAAATGAATAGGGTAAATTTACTTCTGTCGTATTTTGTATGAAAATACTTACTGTCTAATTCGTCCAACAAATGCGCTGTGCCTTCTAATTCCGGCTTATTTAAATTCATTTTTATTTACAATTTTATATTTTACCGAAATAACATAACCTAACTTATTAGTATATAACTGTCATTTCAAAAAAAAAAAAAGAAGAATCAAATTTACAATGTTGACAGACTTTCTTTAGAACTGTCAAAATTTATGTAAATCAAAAAATCTGAATACTGGAATACTTTCATATAATATATTAGCATTAAATTGGCTTGGTAACTAACAAAAAATAGAAGATACAGACTTAAAATTCAATTCGTAAATATATCACTATAAGTCGCATAAAAGTCGTAACAACGTAAACATTAAAAAAATATCAATTTACTTTTAGTCCTAATGAACTATTTACAGTGTAGTCAATTAACTTCTAGCATCGTTAATTGTAGCCGGAACTTTGACTTCCAAACCGTCCATTTTCTCGTTGAGAATAATTTGACAACCTAATCTGGATGTATCGCTCAAATCGTAAGCCAAATCGAGCATATCCAATTCCTCGTCGCAGGCCTTACACGGCAGGGCCTCGAAGTCTTCCGGCTTGAATATCAAATGGCAGGTTGAGCAAGTAAGGGTGCCCTCACAGGCGCCGAAGCCGTCTAGATCTATGTTGTTGTTGACTACAACATCGAGTAGGCTGTCGCCGATTTTTCCTGTCGTTTTAATCCGGTCGCCGTTAGATTTTACGAATGTAATAGTTACTCTGAAAACAACAGGGATTTTGTAAATGTCAATAAGTTTTATGTGAGTTTTCCTTTATAAAACAAGAAGTAGATTGTGGAGTTGTTGTTTAGTAACTTACTCTTTTTTGTTCAAAGCTGGTTGTCCTGCGGAGAATATCCTGGCAGCATTTTGAATAAAATTGACCTTTAAAACCTTGGATAATGTTACGCTGGTTTTCAACAAATTATTAAGGGCCATTTTTCTACAATTCTTAACTTCTTCCACACGCAAACTAGGCTAGGCGATTTTCGTTTCGCTAAAAACACACATTCACATTATACGGTTCGTTTCGCCATTACAATACCTGCTGAAGACGAAATTAATAAGGTAAATTTGCTAAAACGGGCTTATTTCGACATCACAACATGTCGAAATTACAAAAATAATCATGTAACGAAATGAAGTTAGTGACGTAACTTAACCTTAATCTCAAAACACACTTTCGCTTTCTCTTCCTCTTCCTTCGCAGCGTAACAGTTCATTGAATAACTCATATAAAAAAGGCCATTAGTATTGTTTTATATTGTTCGTAAGTACTTAAAAATTTCGAATTATTCGTAGTAATAAGAAAGAAAAGATGAAATGATAAAATTATTGTGTTTTTATTAATAACTGGATTGTAAAGAGGGTAGAGTTATAAAAAAGAAGAAATGTGAAAGACTGTAAAAGTGTCAATGTCAACTGTCATCCTTTCTGCTTGTCACAGCGAGTGCTCTGCACGTGTTTCTTTTAATTTAGGTAAGTTTTCGGTTAATTTATAATAAAATCGACCATATTTATTTATTAATAACCTCTCTAACACACCTATTTGTATTTCTGCCATTCATCCAAACTCTTACATCAACTTATTCTATTATTTTGATTGCACCAGTTACTAGGTTATGCTTTGTGTATTCGTCTTCATAAAACCACGATTGTCGAATAATTTAACGAATGTTCCAGGTCTCCACTCAATAATACAAACACACCGCAATGGCCAAACGTACCAAGAAGGTGGGAATCACCGGTAAATACGGTACCAGATACGGTGCTTCTCTCCGTAAAATGGTGAAGAAAATGGAAATCACCCAGCACGCCAAGTACTCGTGCAGTTTCTGCGGCAAGGACGCCATGAAGAGGAGTTGCGTGGGAATCTGGTCGTGCAAAAGGTGCTTTAAATAGAAACCCAATGGGTTTTAAATCATTTAATCTATTAAGTATTAATTCACACGGAATATAGTTTACTAATGTAAAGTGTATGTTTTAGGTGCAAGAGGATCGTAGCTGGCGGAGCTTGGGTATATTCCACGACAGCTGCTGCTTCGGTCAGATCGGCCGTGAGGCGTCTTAGGGAAGTCAAAGAGCAGTAATATTTTTAAGTTGTGTTAATAAAATATTCATAAAAAGTATGAGTTTTATTGTCTCTCTTCCCTTTAAAATGTAAATTAGATTAAACATTCATGTATTATGATCGAAAACTTTAGATTTAAGGAATGATTTATACACTTTGCTCCATTTCCGATTGCGACATGGTCATTTCTATTTCTATGAGTGGAACAAAGAAAGATTATTAAAATGACAGTTGTCAGAGTGAAAAGTGCCAATGACAAATGTCACTTTTTCCTTTTCCTTTGTAAGTGTCTAATGAAAGTTGTCTTTATCGCACCCATGGTCTATATAACCTATGTTGCAATCAAAAATGGAGCAACTTGTATTTGAAGTTTTTTTTGCATAGAATTTGCTTTATGCAGTACAATGAACATCTAAAAGATCAAATACAATCCATCATTCCTAAAGTAAAGCAAAGACACGACGAAAATCTAATTACGCCGAGCGTTTGAGCGTTTCGCTCTCATTATCATGTATTATTAAAAGAGGGCGGTTGACCGAAACGTACACAATCGGATCGATTTTAAGCGATAAACGACCTTATGAACGTTATTTCGTAAAGACGAACTTTCTACGGACCTTTCGAGATCTCTATAGGGTGGATGAAGCACTCGAATCTTCCCCTAAACCTACGACAAGGGCGAGGGAGAGTCTAATGAATATTTGTAGTAACACGGAACGATAAGAATTCCTTACGGGTGGCCGCGTTTTATTGGTCCAGGAATTTTCATTTGGGTGTTTCGTGATTCATCGACCGGGAATTTCGTCGTCTCCCCCCGTACAAGGGGTGGGTTTCCGCTATTTTTACTAATAAAAAATCTTTCTCGAAAGTCTCGGTATACACCAGAGTTATGTACGCAATTGCTAGATTATTTTTTATGATAAGATACACAATTCAGTACCGCCCTGTATATACTACGATCGAACCGCCATTTCCGTACTTTAATTTCCCTATTACAGGCGAAATTGGACTTTCACTTTGCACGATTTCCGCCCACAATCTTAAATAAAATCATCTAGAAAAAAAATCGCTTCTGATGAACGGTATACGAATAAACATTCCATCACTACTTCTAGTTCATTCGAGAAATACTTGGAATTATTAAAATATCACTAGTATCAGTAACACGGTTGAGAAATGTATAAAATTATAACATACATAAGTTATAAAAACCTTTATTTACCCTACATAATATTAAATAAGGAATCTGGCAACACCGCAATACGCAAATTGACAGTCGTAAATGTCATTTTTTGACAATTATAAACTCTCAAAACTATCGATATAATTAAATAATTATTCGTTTTTCTTGGCTCGATTTAACTAAAAAGATATCGTATATATTACAAAAAAATTTACGATAATAACGAAAGTCATTTATTCCCCGTATTTTAATATAATTTCTTCAAGTCATATAACACCTAAAATACGGGCAATCACATACCGGATGAAACGCTATTTAAGCAAATTGGCCTCTTCCTGCTGTTGCATTAAGTAACAACATATTATGACGTTCTTAATTTTCTCCCTCGTAATTACTTGTCTCATTCCACACACCTTATTATTCTCTTTTCTCGCGCAAGCACTTATTTTTTTATAATTTTATTTATACAATTAATATAGGGTGAGTCACGAAGAGGAATAATTCAATCAGCCTAATCACTGTCGATGGAAGCCAAACGTAACTCGACTTTTATACGAGAAAACCATTTCATTAGAGGGAACGCACCCCAACGGAAAACTTCATTTGCGTAATGGAAACGCCGTTTCCATCTGTCGCATTTTTAAGGTTTTCCTGCATGTTTATCATATACAGGGCGTCCGGGAGACATCCGTAAAATCCCGGGAATCCCTCGGAGAATATTCAAGTTTTCCGGCTTTCCCCGCGTGCAATTTAGGGGCGACACACATGCACGTGTCCCAGCTAGAATGTCTCATTAAGCTAACGAAGACACGTGCTTCGATGTAAATCCCGCACGTGCACGATCGACTGAACCTAATTCCCTAAATATATCCGAGTTATAAAACGCCTTATCTACTAGAAAGTTGATAAGGCTATAGAGTTACGCAGAAACGGACGTGGACGGTTGTATTGGGGATGATTTTTAGACGGCGCCACCACCCGCTGGGTCCGGTATAAAGGCATTTTTAGGTCTTTATTCGATTCGGCGTTGCAGGTGCAACGTGCGAACGAGATGCGCTCGGTTCTTTACCTTTCCTCTCTTCTTTCGGGTTTATTATAATGCGTTTTTATTTCACTCCGCCCGACATTCTCTTGCTAATAGAACACCCGAAGATTTTCTTACTAAAAACGGGTTTATTGACTTATACACGAACGATTTTATTGCGGGTATACCTGTGTTTACCTGTATTTACCTACCTGTTCGATAATGTTGTTATATACAGGTTGTTTCATGCTGCAATGGCACCTTATTTAACCACATAATTTGTCTTCAAACGTTCTAAAGAGTTCTGAATAGTTCTGAGGCTTTCTAAAACTATTTTGAACTGTTCTAAATTCGCCTTAAAGAGTTCTGAATAGTCCTGAAGCTTTTTGAGATATTTTGAATTCGTGCTAAAGAGTTGAATAGTTCTGAAGCTTTCTAAACTTTGAACTCTTCTAAATTCGTTTTAAATAGTTCTGAATGTTTCTAAGGTATTTTGAGCTGTTCTAAATTCGTTCTAAAGAGTTCTGATTAGTTCTGAAGCTTTTGAACTGTTAAAAATTCCTTCTAAAGAGTCCTGATAAGGAGGAAGAGTCCTACACTATACTTTGAATTGTTTTAAATTCCTCATAAAGACAGTATTAAATTAATTCCGAACCGTACTGCATATATTATAAAATGTTCTAAACTCTTTTTCCTGTGTAAACTGCGTTCGGTATTTTTCCAAAAATTTTACTATTCGAATATTGTTAGGAGATTTTTCGAGAAATTCTTCGGTCATGACAAAACCGGCGGTTCGTATAAGAGGAGAAAAAAATTTATGGTATGCAGGTGTTTAATCGCTTCGAAAATAGCGAGAGAAGCCAGTTAAAGAGATTCGAGTGATTTTTTTTTGGCGAATGCGCCCGGTTTTTCATTACAATATACCGTACCTACTATAAATAATAATAATTATTATAAATATATTTTCTTCTTCATTCATTTCCTTTCCATTCGGTGGTGAGATTGATGTTGATTGTTCTAAATCGTTCCAAACTGTCCGCAATGATTTTGGATTCATCCTGAAGGATTCCAATCTGTTCTGAATCGATTTGGTGTCATCCTAAATGCTCCTAAAGTGTTCCTAATCATTCTGAATTAATCCTGAAGCGTTCTGAACTGTTTGGAATAATTTTGAATTAATCCTAAAGCGTTTTGAACCGTTCTAAAAATCTCCAATTTCCGTGATGTCCCTCCCCGAATTGGAAACGTTTCAATGAATGTTCGATGAGCAGTCTATATGCATTTTTCATGACTTTATCGGTAATAGCTATTATGTGCTTACATTTCACATTTCGTGCCATCAACCAACCCCCTTTCGATTCCGACAAAAACGGGGGTTGATTGATTGAAATGCGATTTACCAAAACACGCGCGATGCTTTCTCCATTTTTAAACATTATACTACATTATTAACGACAAAGTGTACAAAAATTCGCATATAGTACGTTTATCTTAACGCGATAATGACGTCACGATATACTTTATTACTGAATTATATAAGAGAAGAAAAAAAAACCAATTAATCTGGGGAGTTTTTCACCGTGAAATTACCCTTAGCAATCTGTCGTCAAAAGGCTAAATAAAAGCGCACACATGCAATAAAACCCTATATATAACTAGTAAGACACCCCCGATCTCTACTCTACTTACCCAAGGGTTGTTTACCCCACCGAATGAATACATTCGGATCATTACGTGGTCGCTAAGTCACGGGGATTTTCTACGTACTCTCATATATCCAGCCATCCACAGGACCGGATTTATCGAGGAAAATTCCTTCATATTGTAATAATTGTAGAAATTTAAAAGGTTTCTAAACTGTTTTCAATCGTCCTGAAACTTATCCTGAGCTGTTCTAGAGTATCTTGAGGAATTGCAAGTTGATCCGAAACTTTCTACATTGTTTGGAACCGTCTTAAACTAATCCTGAACTCTTCTCGAGTATTCTGAGGAATTCTAGGCTTTTTAAGCTCTTTCGAACCGTCTAAAACTTATTCTGAACTGTTCTAATATTTTCTGAGGAGATCTAAATTGTCCTAAGTTTTATAAACTGTTTTGACCCGCTTTAAACTCATCCTGAAGCTTTCGAAACTGTTTTGAATTGTCTTAAACTAATCTTGAACCGTTCTAATGTATCCTGAGGGGTTCTAAATCGTCTTGCAGCTTTCCAAACCGTGTAGAACCATCTTAAACTTATCCTGAACTGTTCTAATGTATTCTGAGGAGATCTAAATTGTCCTATAGCTTTATGAACTGTTTTGAATCGTCTTAAACTCATCTTGAACCGCTGTAATTTATCCTGAGGGGTTCTAAATCGTCCTGAAGCTTTCCAAACCGTTTTGAACCATCTTAAATTTATCCCGAACTGTTCTAGAGTATCCTGAGGGGTTCTAAATCGTCCTGAAGCTCCCCAAACTGTTTTGAACAGACGTAAACTATTCTAGATTACCCTAGGACGTTCCAAATGTACCCTAAACAGTTTAGAACCGTTCGAAATTCATCCTGAACAGTTCTAAATCATCTTAAAGCACAGCCTACCCCCTAGCATAGTATTTTCCGCAGCTTGACTACGTCTCATTAGATCCGGCTTTGTGTCGACGATAATAAAAGGAAAGCTCTACGATACTCGCATTTTATCGAATCGCATATTCGGCTGGAAAATAAATCATCCCCCTTTTACACGAAACTTAGATCCGGTCACGTGGCCGGGAGAAGTCCGGGCGCGTGTCCGCACCGGAACTGACTCGCTCCCTCCGGATTTTCGGTTTCCACGTGATGTATATATGTATGCAGCCCGGTGTGAC